CAATTATAACATGTTGAATTCGAGGTTCTCACAGTGGTGACCAAGATGATAATTCTTTTTGGGGGGGGGGGATTATATCGTGGTATATGTCGGTCGAAATGTATGTCCGTACAACGCAGAACCAAGGCCAGATTTACGAGGGAGTGAATGGGGCTTTCACATTGTGGCTTCCAAAAACTAGGAATAGAACCCACAGAATTTACTGATATAATTAATTCTCTTAGATCACAAAAGTTATTTTGTATTTTAGAAGAAAAGAAAAAAGGATAAGCCAGATCCTAAATTTGTTGCTACTAATATGGGTATCCACAGTTTGATTTCCCCAGATCTGACCAATCTAAATTCGGCCTTGCCCAGAATATCGTACTCTTCATAATTGCTTGTTTCTTCATATGACAAATTTCGCTGTACAGAGCATAATTACATTCCTGCCCACAATTGTTATTTAACAATTTTAAAAATGAATGGGTTCCATAGCCAAGATGAGCCAATTTCCTTTAGAATCTTCAGTCCAATTATAGAGTTCCAGTAATTTCGAACAAAATTGCTCTTCCAAGCAAGAAAATGAGTCACAGCGAATCGCAGTGTGAACACTCATCTCCCAAGTGCAATAATACGTCCAATGTGTAACTCACCTTCAGAAGATACCGTGTACTGTCTAAGAACCGTAGTCTAAACCAACTTGTCGTTGACCATCTCAACAAAACGACGACCCTTTCCAGCACAGCGACACTTCGAACGCTCCTTCGAGACTCAAGGCTGCTTTCATCTCGTGGGACACCCGAGCCCTGCCCTCATCCGTAGAAGAAGCTTCCGCACTTACTCTTTCCGCCACAATTAATGTTCTCTAAAATTCAGTAATCTGCATGTGTCATGAGCAGGGCCGTTGGGAAAGCACAAGTAGGCCATATGGATGTGTGGGGCAGTACGTTATAGGACAAAGCTCTACATTAACATCAGCAGTCCGATTGCAAGATATGAAGAACGCCAGAAATGTTATTCGCTCGGGACGCAGAATAACTTCCACTTGATCATGGGAATAATATGCGAGTAGGTTAGATTTCCTACTGGAAGTCACCAAACAGCGTAATCTGCAAATGCAATTTTCGTAAATTTACCTAATTCATTTCGTACATTAAAGATCTAAAGGAGTCGTGATAGCTCAGTCGGTATAGCAACGGCCTACGGGCTTGGCTACCGGAGTTCGTTTCCCGGCAGAGGCAAGACTTCACTCTTCTCCATAGAGTCCAAACTGGCTCCGAGGCCCACCCAGCCTCTTGTCTAGTGAGTACCTGGGAAATTTCCTCAGGGTAAAATGACTGGAGAGTGAAGCTAACCACTCACCTCTATCTAGTACCGAGGTCAAGAAAGATGGGATATACCTCCACTCCCCCATATGTCTCCATGGCATAGTGCTTAATTCATTAAACTTAGGGACATATATTTTTAGATTAAGGATAAAGAATTATGGAAGTTAAAGGCCATGGAAAAAGAATGGCCCTCATATATCTGGTATATAGCGTCCAAGGTACATGTAACTGAGAATTATTTCACAGGGAATTTCTGCTTTCTGTCAACTTATTGCAGGGAACAAGATCCTTCTTGACAAGTGAATAGTCCTTCAGGTTGTCAAAAAATTCCCGCCTTTTATATAACAGATTTATTATCATGTTCATAAGAGCATACCATTACACTGTAGTCTATGCTAGATGAATGCACTCCACATAGACAAAAAGTAGTTTTTTAATAAATTTTAATATTATCCTCACGTTTACGGTCATAAAAGTAGTCTCTTCAGCTTCAGGTCCTTCAAATTAATTCTGTATACATCTCGTAATATTTGTTCTTTGCATGATGCCTGGTAGGACCTTCTCATGCTCCTTGATTTCATTATAATAATAATATCTGGTAAAGAGTCAAATTTTGAAGCAATTTCATATACAATTATCATGCTTTCCTTTAATATAAATAAATTAACATTTTTAATGACAAGTAAGGACATGTGATGCCCAAGTTCTCCGGAGCTGAGGTACACAAGTCCTGAATATTTGACATATGATGTCTCAGAGGAATCAGGATTTAAATTATGTTTCTTTCTTTGAATCGCAGAAGATTGTGATACAGAGTTTTGCCTAATATGATGTGTGTGTGTTTTTATGTGTTTTGTGTGCGTGTTTTCCCCCCCTTCTTTGTGCATATTACATCTTCAAACAGAAGATCTTAGCTAACAAACTGCTTTCGTTTTCAGATTAAACGTCAGTGACAGCAGTATCTTGGAAGTATTGCATTGGTATACATCTGTAAATGCTGCTCTATTGAACCATCTCACTAATCAAATCAAAGAAACAGACAACAGTGGAGTGTGGAGGTATACTTCATTTTCCTAAATAACAGAACAATATCTATTGCATGCTGGGTGCTGTCCAGTGCTTCAGGTATATTCAACATAAACTTACATAATGTTTCAGAGTTTGTTCTATTTGCAACACATCATGTTAACAGATATAACTGTTTCACTGTGAATGATGTAATGTTTTGAGAGTTGACATTATTCCCAGTACATCATTTTGTCAAACATACGTCAGATAAGGATTAATATCAAACATAATTTTGATGGATATAATGTAATATTATGTTACATGCCTTCATTCTCAACACATAATGTTATAAAATATAACACATGCCTAATATCAAAAAATTTAATGTGATATCTTTAGATTCTATTCCTGTCATGTTATCAAATATACCTCAAACAATGATTTATGTCAAATATAACTGTGATGAAAATGATGTAATATTTTCGGTGTTAACTTTATTCGCAGCACGTCATATTATGAAATGTAACTCAGGCAACAAATAATGTCAAACATAATTGAGATATAATAGTTGGATCCTGAGTTTATTATTAATAAATCATATTCTCAAGTATGCCTCAGACAATGATTAGTGTTTAATATAATTATAATGCAATTTTTTTTTGTAATCTGGCTGTATTTGAAACAAGAATTGGAAATTGTTTTTTAGATCTAAGCAAACATTCCAGCTCAGAACAACAGAGAGTTTCCTGTTCAGAAATGAGTAGAGCCTGCACATTAAATGGGAATTATTACAGAGTATGCCCAAATTATTTCCTCTATTTATCATTGAGTGGAATGATAGTCATGAGGTCTTAAAGCACTGAAAATAAATTCCTCAAAATGAAGTGCTCCCAAAGTAAGTAGTTGGCATCTACTTATACTCCCAGTCCTGTTCCCAACATATCATGTCATAAAATATAATTCAGTGACTAACATTAAATATAAATGTGATGTAATTAATTTTTTTCTCAATATGTTTCAGATCCTAGTTTATGTAAGAATTATGCCATAATAACATATTGTATATTTATAAATAATGTTCAAAATTTATTTTCTGAGGGGAGATGAGATAGCCCAGTCGGTATAGCGACTGACTATGGGTTAGATGACCGAGGGGTCAAGTTCAAGTCCCAGTAGGGTCAAGAATTTTCCTTCTTCCATGTCATCCAGACAAGTTCTGGGGCCCATCCAGCCTCCTACTCAATGGGTAACAGGGGTCTCTTTCCCTTGAGGAAAAGCCTGACCATTCCACTATAACCAGGGTGGAATTCAAGAAAATGTGGATCTACACATCCACTCCCTCATACACCTTCATGGCGTAGTGCTTAATTAAGTTAAGCATGGAGACGAATTTCCTTTTACTTACTGATTTTCTGAAGCTGCTACTAGTGTTTTGAATGTATTTTTTTTTTTTACTCTTAGGTACTTAATTTCATTCAAGAATTTGCTGCGGAGTATAGAGAACATTGGCATCTCCATGGTATATGGCATCAACTACTTTGCAAGGGGAAAACTCCACAATTCAAGCTACATCCATTATGTGCGTCATGAAGCCTTGGGAAATGACTTACTTAACAGTTCACTCAATTATGTACCATCCCTTAGGCAGCTGTACATGGATCTCACCACACGGATGGGTGACTATGGAAATATCAGGAGGAGGTCAGAATGCGGAAGTATATGAAAAATGTGTGAAAAAGTTGTTAATGAGAAGTGGCTCTTGTATAACAAACTGGAACAACTGGAAATTAAGTCATATGAGGAAATGAGTAATAAAATACACAAATAATGAAACACAGATTACATTTAGAATATTAGCAATTTTTATCACAATACTTTGAAAGTGAGATATTATTTCTTTGTTCATAACTTACTTATTGACACTTTATAGTAAATTGCACAGGATGTAACATTTATAGGAATATGATCATGAATTATGCATTCATCATTACGGATATGTTTCATTGGTAATGGCACGAATGTTACGACATCCCATATTGCCCCATATTTCCAAATCTAGGTCAAACTTTTGGAAATTTAAATGAGAAATAAAGGCTGTCATTTAGAGGCCTTGGCAATTTATTAAAATATTTAATTATTACACATATACAGAAATTATTTCAGGCCCTGAACAACATAAAGAACTTTTATATGTTCAATAAATTCCTTAATGTGACAAAATTATGAAGTCTTATTTCTACGAGTTATACTTATTTAGTATTAATAACTGATCTACATCATGTATTATTATTATCTTATCATTTAACTTGATGATATTTTTAACTAAACTCACAGTGTGCTTACAGTAATTTAATAATCATTGTTACTGCTTACTACTTCTCTTAATCAGTCATATAACAAGGAATGCTCTTGACATCCTTTACAGTGCTCACATACTTACAATTAAATTAATATCAATTTATATTTGAAATTAAGTAATCTATTATATATTCACATATGCAGCTATTAAAATCATCTTGGGTGGTCAGTTATGCTTATATTGTGTTAAAAATCCATGTTCCAGGATCTCCACCTCCATCATCAGGGTCGATGTTGTGAATTGTCATAAGTTGCTGGTGTATACAAGTATACCAGTCAGTCAAATCACTTCCTCGTCATATTGGCAGAGGAGATATTTGAAATATTGAATTTTATCTCCACATTGGCATGGATGGTTGCCTGAGATGATTTTAAGTATATTTTTCTACGGGAAAGTGTCACATCTTACAAACATGCATGTATTTAAGTATAATTTAATATGTTATCTCATTGTGTGCATATTCAATGGGAAAAATTGAACTTATTTTATATGAAATATTTATGTGAAACCGTATCATGTGTAGCGTTATTTCTTACGTTTCTGAATAATATGTTACAGAAAGGAAGAAATTCTTGGCAACTCCCAACGTAACAAAAGTCATGAGATAGCTAAAATTTACTTTGACAACATGGCGTCTTATGTGGATGAATTACGTAAACTACAAGGTGCACTTCGGGTCAAGATCCGTGATTACGTAAACTCTAACTTGTTAGATGCAAGCCATAAGGAGGCCTATGGCATAGCCATCTTGGTTCTAGTGCTTGTAGTGTCACCTATCATCATCATCCTTGTGCGCAATGCAGTTGCCACTATTCAGGTATGATACACACATTCCATTTGGAACTTTCCATTAATCATGAAAATTACAACACATTTCTTGCACCACTAAGTCTTGGATGTTGAAGTCAGATTTATAACAGCACTTCGGCTATGCATTCAGGAAGTCCTGAATTCAATTCTCTCTGGCTTTCTTGATGTTTATGGTTACTTTTCACAGTTCTTTGGGTAAATGGCAAGCTAATACCTCAAATTAAGGCAGAACACTCTTTTACCACATCCCTTCGAATTCATTAATCATAGTAACTTTTGACACTTTATTATGAACTGCTAGTATCATCATGTGAATGGAGAAGTTCATGGAGGTAGGCCTAGGCCCACTGGAGCTATAGTGCCAAGGAGAAAACATATCATCATTAATTGAGCCAGAAATAAATAAATGATGTAGAGTCTCTATACATAACTAATGAAGTTTCTTTGATCTTACTTCATACATTTATAACTGTAAGTAAGCTGAAAATTAAGTAAAAAATTTAACTACGTGTATTTCTTATAGCTAGTAAATTAATCTGTAAGATCCATGAAAAGATAAACTATCATTCATTATGCAAAAGATATATGTATGTATAAATATATACTGGATGAAAGAGTTTAAAGAAACTAGGTTGATTACTGTCAAACCACTGTCCAATAAGTATCAGACAAATGAGGATACTGTATCCAATAGAGTGGCATATTTGAAAGAAGTTTGTAATTGTTTATGAAACTCAGAGCTCTCTGACTAAACTCCCTACAATCAAAGAATCTTATGAACTTTTGCATTAAATTGCAAGACTCTTCTTAGAAGATTAAGACACTTCAAATTTCACAGGAGAAATTAAAATCCAATATTATATTTATTCTGATTTTTTGTTCTAAATTATGTTTCCTAAATTTGTTACATCAATTCAATTATTGGTTCCACAGTAATAGTGAAGAAATCTTATTGCATGTGATGCTTTCATATCCTCTTAAAATTTGCCCCAGTTATCCAAGTTAAAAGTACATATGGATTTAATAAAGATCCTGCATATGACATACGTTAATGTGTAGCTAACAATGCTGTCCCCCTTCATTACAGATGTACTCTGCTAATCTAGCTCAGAAGGCAAAGGAACTGAAGAAGGAGAAGAAGATAAGCGACACATTGTTGTTCCAAATGCTACCACCAAGTGTTGCACAGCAGTTGAAACAAACTAAACAAGTAAACATATAATGTCACCTTTCACTGGTGTTATCAGTAGCTCTAACATTAGAGGAAATGCATTGTATTATGTTTGATGTTTGTGCAGGAATTTCTTAAATTAATGTTGGAATGACCAACCAGTCTAAATCAGTTTAATGTAAACATTCCAATTTTGTATATGGCCTTACAAATTTCAGCACTTAGGAGCCATCTTCAAATATGAGTCCTGTGCTTGAATATGTTGAGTAGTCTGAACATGTCTTCCTCTGTGTTATCACCGAAAAGGTTTTCTTTATTTATTTTAAATTCGCCTATAGGGAGCGTGGAGTCCAACTGGGTCCATTCAGCACAGCGGCCACTGATTGGCCTATTGTAGTCTGCCCCGGGTGATTATGATGGAGAATTTGGTGGAATGAAGATTGGCAAGGGAAACCGAAGTACTCGGAGAAAACCTGCCCCAGCGTCACTTTGTCCACCACAAATCCCACTTGACCAGACCCGGGCTCAAACCCGGGCCTCTGCGGTGGGAAGTCAGCGACTAACCACTTGAGCTATGGCGCTGCCACCGAACAGGTTGGTCCAGACATAAAGAGGTAACACTGTAGGCTTTGGTAGATTCTCGGTTTGAATCTCTCCCAGGACATCAGCTGTCAGGATCAAAGATTTTCAAGTTATTTTTTAATCCATTTAAGCAAGGTAGGGTAGTGCTTCAATTGGATCACAGTAACTTCCTCCTAAACCCTTCCAGCTCACCATTCATCATCCATCCTTCCGTCTGACAATATGTAGCCCAGGTATTGAAATCATCATTAAATAACCCACAATGAACCTATATGCCATAAAATAACACAAATTCTTGTGCGTAAAACTGTTCAAAATTTCTTGTTTCTTGGAATCGTGGCCCAGCTTCATACCTCCCAGATAATCTGACATTTGAAGCATGGATTTCAGTGCTAAAACTGTTGCTAATGCTGTTCAGGTTTTGTTCCAAATTATGTGAACACATCTGTAATTTGCCTATGCTTCAATAAAGAATGGGAAGCCACTAAAAAGTTCTCTGGCAAAGATTTCTATAATTTCCACCAACAGTTTTACTAGAATGATATAGATTAATAGTACTGAACATCCAACAAAATTAAAATATTTTTCTAACCATATGATGAAGCAGTTTGAAATAGTACTTTGCCTTTTGAAAACAAATGGTGAACTTCATTTAAAAAATTATGAACTTATATTTTTATACATTATTAACAATGCACATACCCAAAATTTGAGAGCCTAAAACAGCGAGCAAACTGTCAAGCGGCTCCTGCATTGGAGTTTCCTCAAGTGTGATGCAACCAAATTAGAAAGGTTGTTACATTACCTCGCGCGTGCGCACACACACACACACACACACACACACACACACACACATACATACATATATATGCACATGCACACTCACACGCGCGCTTGTGTGTGTGTGTGTGAACATGCGCGTGCATTTGTAGATGGATGGATAAATATTTTGCATCCATTTTTCGCGCATTTAAAAATGATGAATATACTTACGGTCCCCAGCTAAAATAGGTAAGGTAAAGAATCCCTGTAACAAGTCATGGAGGCCCATAGGATAGTGAGAGGATGAGGTTCCCACATTTTCTAGGCAATTGGCTCTCAGATGGCAGTGAGATTGTCAGCCTTACACTCTGACTGCCCTTATGTTAGAGGCTGAGTCGACTCAAGAGCCATAGTGCAGCTGGAAGGATTAGGTCAATTGAAAAATCCATTGACCTCATCGGGAAACTAACCAGTGACCTTCTGGCTTGTAGCATAGAGCTTCAACCAACTAAGCTACCATGTGCCCCAACGGTTCCAAGCTAACCTATAATATCTCTAGAAGTGTGTGTTTGTATTTATGGGAGTGGCAGTGCAATATGTTTGGATGCATATATGCTGTATACAAGAACAATGTCAGATCATCTGGGAATATTCTGTACTTCCATGCACTTTCCAAAGCAACCGTGAAAAGACAGTGGAAACTTAACTTCCAAAATAAAAACTAGTTCCCGAACTCTGATCACTTCAACTATTGCTAATCACACATTTTACATCCATGATAATCTTAAATAAATAGTTTATTAATTGATGTCCAAAATTGACAAAGCCCATATTAACATGATGTATATATAATCATGTGACAAATTTATATATGAGAAACAAGGGAAAATGTGACATATGTACATACTTATTTAAAACTAATATGAAATATAACATACCATTTATATACAAGAATACAGTGGAAATCCAACTGTATTTCTGTATAAGATAATGACTGTAAACATTAAATTAAAGAACTACTGAAATTCTAAAGATCTAACATTGAGCTATGCTTGTAGAGATCAGATATTAAAAACTGAATAATGAATTGAGAATAATATTAAATTAAAGGAATTCCCATAAATCAAATTTTGTTGCCTTTATTTAGTTTTACTCCAGTAGTTATTCATTTAGTTGCATGTTTATTTTACAGGTTCCAGCTGAATTCTATGCATCTGTCACAGTATACTTTAGTGATATTGTTGGATTTACAGAAATCGCAGCTATTAGCACCCCATTAGAGGTAGGTATACAAAGAAGAGACTTCGCTTTTTTTACATATACATAATATTTTTCAGTTGTATTTGTTATCACGAACCCAGAAATGTTTTAACTGTTATCTATACATTTAATTCTCCAAGATCCTTATCACATGCAAGAATAATAATTATTAAATTGAAAGAAATGTTTCTATTTTAATTGTTATATCCTACCCACATATGTATGAATACAGTTCTCATTTCAATACCACCGTGATATGCAAAAACCATATAGGATTTGAAGCTTTCTTGGCAACAGTATGCAATATTTAAAAACACATAAAATCATAAATATAGCATGCAAACGCAACACTCATGACATAAATTTTTAATATATCTCCTTATGATATATATTTATGTAGTGTTGATCTTTATGAAAATATGCATGGTGCCACAACTTTTCATAAAACACTTCCATGTTAAGTTTTAAATTTTCAGATTGGAACATATAGACAGACAAATGATAAACACTATTTACATTTATGCATTAATTTATGCACACTGTGTATACTCTGTGATACTCGCAGATCGTAATTACCACCTCAAAAATACATCAACATAAGAAATAAATTACTTCCTGTTCACCTCAAGTATGTGTGTTTGTCTGACTCTTGCTCTGTGAATTTTATTCTTTCGTAATATCTTGTGTATAGATTTTCCTGGGTGACATAGTCTTGAAAAATTAGGTAATATATACTTGTGATGTCTTACTTCCTTCCAGGTGGTGACATTTCTCAATTCAATATATAAAATGTTTGATGCACGTATCGAGTGCTATGATGTTTACAAAGTAGAGACTATTGGAGACTCCTATATGGTGGCATCAGGATTACCTGTCAAAAATGGTGAGGTGAAATTAAAAGGTGAAGAAATATTCAGACTTTCCTAAATAAAAACTTTGAAAGCTAACACTACAGTCTTCTGGGTCACGATGTCTCATAGTTTGGTAAATAGTTATCATTGTTTGGGCGAAAAGCACTACATCCATCTTCAGAATAGCAGAGTCCTCCAAAACTTTGGTACCTTTGTCCCAAAGTATGTGGTGTCGTATAAAAAAATGTAATCATAATTCCCACCTCTGTGCATACCTCAAATCTAGCTGTTAACAAAAGTAATTGTAATGCCACACTTTTCTTCTTCCAAAGGTTATATCAGATACCATCTTCGAGACTCACTGAAAAATCTTTTAAGCTTCTGCATTTGAATCTTAGTTGTGCTTAAATATCATCCTACACTGCTATCAAAATTTAACTTTACCTAATTTTTCCATATTCACATTTGCAAGACAACCATCATGAAGCTGCAAGGCACCACACTTGCTAAGAATAACTGAAAATTATTAGGATGTATGTAAAGAGATCATTATATGTTGAATACTTTTTGAGATATGTTATTTCTTAGCACTTAACGTTATGTACATTGACATTTTAAACATAAATAACTCATCTCTTATCTTCATTCTAATTTTATTTTATTTTTAACATCTGAAGTGCACATATCAGCACACTGAAAAGTGTAGTCTCCATGACCAAAGCATACATATTTGTGCATTTAAACAACTCTAGTAGAAGCATGCGTACAGTTCTAATTAATTATTTTTAAGTATGTAAAATTCAATGTACACACCTTTTACTATCTTCTTAATGAATATATAGGCTTCACTCCCGCGCCAGTCATCTAACTGAATTGCTGCTTTTTGTGGTACTCCTCGAAACGCTCGATAACGCACAGTTCCACGTCACATACCTTGCACTTCAGCTGCTTTTCAATTTCATCATCTTCCTAATGTCGTATCACTGCCATTGTATGATGAAATGAAACTACAATATTCCAATTCACTATAAACTGACAGAAAAATTAATGCCCTTTGTATCTCAGCTATGATGCGAGCATTTGGTTGCGACTATAGGAAGGGCAATGTTTTCTTGCAGCTGCAATGGAAGGGCTTGGGACTAATGTACAAAACAGAAATTTTCTCTCCAGTATCTCTTGAATTCTCATGTTATCACTTTTCTATTCCCCTAGCCATCAGAATTAAATAACAAGAGTGTAGCAAAAATGTGAATCTTACAAGCAGAAAAATAAAAAACTGTGCTTAATGGTTCAAGATGTTTTATGACAAGAGAGACAGTGGAAGTATGTCAAGTGTTACAAGAAAGAATGAATTCATAATGCAGGAACACTTTGTGCAAAATCAGGGAAGTCTTTTGTAAAACAGGCATAAAAAAGAGGACTACTTTGCCTAAATATTTTCAAATCTTATAATATATGATATTATATCCTGGGCTGATAAAAACCAAAGGTAATTCTAATCATTTATCACAATAACTGTATTAGATTCTTCATTTTAATAAAGTGCTTGAAATTATTTCAAACTGCAGAAAATATTTAAACGCCCAACAGCAGGCATTTAAATAAACTCCGTCCAGCTCCCCCTACCACCATGCAAAAAGTCTGGCATTTAAAAAAAAAAAAAACAAAACAAAACTCAAATTGCCGGGGTATGCAAATATGCCTATATTTTCAGATAGAGGAAATGTCCATTAATTTCAACCTCAGTGCTACAGCTTTCTTTTAAATAGACGGTGTATCCAGTTGGCTCACCGCAGGAAATAACTTTTTGCATTAAGATGTCCTTAAATGTATGTGTATCTTTGATCTGTAATTGTCTTTCTGCAACAAAGAATATACCATTTTACATATTATAAGGCATTAATTTAATACTGCAGTCATTTGGAGGTGAGTAGCATTAATCATTATTTGGCACCTTAAAATGTGAGAAAACCATGCCTTTAGAAAAAAACAACGTAAACTTAGTATTCATAAATTTTCAGAACTTATTGAAACACCACAATTTGTTTATTTTAAGAGCATTTTGATTGTGAATCCAGTTCTAAACTTTGGAAGATAAGCTTTCCAATTCTTGTGTTCTCCTTTGAATACTGCAGTGGATGCCATGGAATGATATCTAAATGAACAACCAAAACTACCTCACTGAAAGAGTACAGCTGAATAGTTTGATTACTGCTTGATATTTAGTTGGACCAAAGTTCAAGTCTTGGAATCATTATCCTGACAGAGGCACGTTGTGATTTTCCTCGGCCCCTTCATGCAAATGGCAAGATAACACCCTAAATTATGCTATGATTACTTCTTCAACAACCTCCCTTCCCAATTCACTATTCACCAATTATCGACTCATTCAAAGACATAAGAGCTCGGTGATTAAATTTGTTTAAAATAAATGAAAAATAAAGGTAAGCTTACTTTAGAAACATAGTCAGCTTAGAAGTTATGGAATAGCTTTTCTAATTTTCATTGTGCCACTGGGTAAGATTCAGTCAGTATCAGGATGTAACAGGTTACTCTATATTAGATCATATTCCAAACTCAGATATTATGTTTATTTTTGCTGAAGCAGAAAATCTTGAATTTATATTGTAACATGTTTCGTTACAGAAGACGCCGTAGAGATGGTTAATTGGTTTATTTAACAATCTACAAATAACGGCTACAATTAATTATCACAATATTACGGGTTTCCACACTTTACAAACCCTACAACAAAATCTCTTAACACGATCTTCACTTGTCTTCACGTACTAATAACGCGGGAGCTATACAAGTCTCCCTGAATTACACACTTTCACTCGTAACACGCCGCTTGCTAGATTCCAACTCTGCTCGCAAGATGCTGCCGTGAGAACTGTTGATAACACACTCGGCGACTGTCACAGTACAACTGACTGTGAATAGCCTTCGCTGCTCCTCATGTAGCCTTGATCGGACAATACTGAAAACGGCCACGTAATAGGCACCCTTGTTGCCTGGCGCTGTGTTGCTAGTAACGCTAGCGGTAGTAACCGCTGTTACTACCGTAACAATCCTGTTGCGTCACCGTTACGTTACCGTGCGGAGGAGGGGGAGGGGAGCGCTGACTCCCCCGCCGCGTCACTGCTGGTGGGGGGGTTCTCCTTTGCGCAACATGTCACAATGTGATACATGAAACTATTTTGTGCATGTACTGTAGTTATAGATTAGTAAGATATGAGTCATAACCGCTTCTATGGTCTAGTGGTCAGCGTTCCTGGCTACAGATCCAGAGGTCCAGGTTCGATTCCCAGCACTACCAGATTTTGCTGCGCCATAGCTCAAGCGGTTAGTCACTGGCTTCCCAGCGCGGCGGCCCGGGTTCGATCCTGGATCTGGTGAAGTGGGATTGGTGATGAACAAAGTGGCGCAGGGGCAGGTTTTCTCTCAGGACTTCGGTTTCCCCTGCCAATCTTCATTCCACCAATTGCTCCACAATCGCCCTCACCTGTCATCTGGGGCTGGTAAAATAGGCCAGAAGTGGCTGCTGTACAAGGGACTTAGTACCACCCCACTAGCAATAATATCTTCGTGGGCACGCTGTAGCGTAGTTGGTTAAGGCACTATGCTACAAGCCAGAAGGTCACAGGTTCAAGTCCCGATGAGGTCATTGAATATTTTTCAATTGACCTAATCCTTCCAGCTGTACTATGTCCTTGGGGTCGACTCAGCCTCTTGGAATATTCTTGGGGGTAAAGGGTGGCCAGTGCGTAGGGCTGACAACCTTGCCTCCATCTATGAGCCGATTGTCTAGAAAATGTAGGAACCTCAACATCTAATAACCCTATGGGCCTCCACGGCCAGTTACAGGGATACCTTTACTTTACTTTACTAATTTGTCTGCATTTGTGTCTATGTACTTGATCTTTCTTTGTCTTTTTGCTTATGTTTACTTTATAACTAGCCTTTGAACTGTTGAGCAAGCATGTGAATAAACAAAGATCAGAATTTAAATTAATAATAAAAATGTAATATTTTTTGTTGCTCCATGCAGGTGACAAACATGTAACAGAGATAGCCACAATGGCACTGGATCTTCTGGCAGGTTCTGTGGTGTTCAAGATTCCACACCGTCCAAATGAAAGGCTCCAAATACGCAGTGGAGTTCACACAGGGCCAGTTGTTGCCGGAATTGTTGGCACAAAGATGCCACGCTACTGCCTATTTGGTGACACTGTCAACACCGCATCACGCATGGAGTCAACAGGGGAGGGTGAGTAGGTGCCTAATACTCTCTGCTTAAGTATCCTATAGATGAAAATTATGACACTGACCTATACAAATAAATAGACATAAGATTGTGAGATCTTCACGCCTGTACATTGTTTAAGTTAGTAGCTGACCTAACCTTTTTGACATGTAATATATTACAAACACAACACAGCGCGCAACAAACAACCACAGGACGATATCAAAGAACCTTCTTCTCAAGAAAGACAGGCGGCACAAGTTCGGCCCCCATCAAGAGAGGTGATAAGAGAGATGACACGAACCTATTTGGTTTATAAATTCTAACTTAATAAAAGTTTAAATAAATTTTAATATATCAAGACAGACGCTGTAGTTGTGAAAACTTTGGACTTTGTATATATTTGTGCATTTTAAACAATGTATATATATATTTTAACATTCAGAACACCCAATGTAATAGTGGTTTCCAAACTGTATCGATGTCCCACTGATGATGTCCTCTAAGGACCGAAACATGTAAGGGCATTAAGAATTGAAATAAGAAAAACTTCACCAGTCACACTGGATGGAATTGTTTTATAATTTTATAATATATTACACTTACAACATGTTTCATAATTCCCATCCTTAACAGTTATAACATGGGTGACTTTTAAAATTTCAAAGTTTGATTGACATTATCATCGTTCAGTACATGATTGTAAAATGCAGTATCACGATACTTCCATCATGAGTAACTTCCATGAAAGAAGGAAAAAATGGAAAGAATTAAGTATATGTATACACTCCTCTTAATTCTGTTATGAAAATTCTTGAGTTAATTGCAGTTGTTTTTTGAACAATTTTATGGCACAAATTTTGCATACTGTGAAGTACAGTAATATTCAAAATCCATAACCTGCATTCATAGAAAATCTATAGGACTGAAAGTTTTACCCAACTTCATCTTCAAGGTAAATCTTTGTCCTGTCTCATCACCATTATTAATCATTTAATCATATAATCCTTAACATATGAGTCTGGTAGCATTTAAAAAATGTTTGCACTACTCATTCTTCACAGGGTTTTCATGCTTTCAAAGAAACATTTTTGTTTTCACCACCTGTCTCTACAACCCTGACTAGAAATATATGGGACATGAAACTGCATATACAAATTATTTCTTTATATGACACTTGGAATAAATTGTTTTACATTAAAAGTGTGAGAATTAAATGACCTTTGCACTACTATAATCTATTGTGCTTCCCCTATATAAGTGTCACCACTCTGATAGTTCTGCAGTTCAACTGAAGAGCAGTACTTTGCTTAATACAGCAGTTCCATAAATTTGGTATCATTGGAGGCATGCTCAATATTATACTTCTTAGTTTCTGACAATTTGTAACAGCAACACAGCAGGTATGAGAACTTGTGAGTTTGGAATTACACTATTGCCACTTAATTTTGTGACCTGAAATGGTGTATGGTAACAGGTCTTCAAAAATTATTCAACTATTATTAAGTAATTCTTCTATAAAGTAAAAATATTAACATGGTGGCTGTGCAAAAGTTTTCTCTCACTTTCGGTTTGATGGCAATAAATAATGAAATACTGGAGATAAAACATAAATATATTTACACATAAAGGATGAAACATTGTTTGTAAATAAATTGGGAAAATGAAGTTATATTCAACAAGTTTAATGTAGGCAGAATCTGAACTTAATAAGTTCTCCCACAGAAGATGCTAACAGATCTATCAGACTAGAAAGCTGTGCAATAGGATGGCTGTAATAATTCTGCTTAGGAAAACATCAATCTGTAAATAATTTAAACTTGTTTTAAATTTATTTGTTTCATGTAATATTTTGACTTCTTAACCATGGGAAGTTAAACCAGGGGTCTCAAGAAATTGCAGTTAATAAAAATAACGTATTTGAATTGAAAAGAATGAATAAAAAAGTATGAAATTAAATAAACAATATTTTTCCTTGTTGTTCATGATTTGAGAAAATTCAGATGGTACACATAAATTTCAAGAAAATTGAATGCAATATTGGTACACATACACTAAAGTTTGCAAAAACAGAGCAATAATAAAATAATATTTTAATAGTTATCAGTAAAGACTTTAAGAAACTTAAGAACATTAACATTCACTAATGAATATGCCACTCATGTCATGTTTCGTTACGCTGAGTCATCAGATTGCTTATTGGGCACAGTCTCTTAAGCCATGTTGCAGTGTTTTGACTTGTTATATGCATCACAGTGTTTATGTTGCCACTTGCCTGCCTATGCGTGCAGCCTTGAGGATTCACATTAGTGCAGAAGTGAAACGTGCTCTGGATGCAGTTGGTGGTTTTCGTACTGAACATCGAGGACTTGTCGATGTTAAGGTACGCTTTATATTTTTTCATATATTGCACCCATATTTGTAATAAATTGTGGAAAAAATTAACATAACGTATATAAGTAGTAAGATCACTGGTCAAAGTTCAGTTTGACTGTACCCATTGCCTCAAGTTCACAAAACCAACAAATAATAACATATTTTTTATTTATTTGTTTATTCTTGACTTATTTAAATATGCTTTCAGTATCTCAGATTATATAATGTGAATTGGAAAGAATATGGAAGTGGCCATGCTTAGCTTGAGGTACTACATTGCCATTTGCCTGGGGTGAACAGAGGAAACAATGACAAACATAAACAAGGACAGACTGTCTCCAGATCCAGATCCAGAAGGCTATACAGGCCATGACCGACTAACATAACAACCCCCCCCCCCAGCTTAAGGGTTAGTGCCCAGCCTTTAACCTTGCCTTTCTCTCCCCCAACACAAAACCCTGCTTGTCCCAGCTCCTTCCGCCCCCCCTTTCGACACTACCGATTTCACTTGTAGACTTGCCCTTCCCCCTTCCTTCACTGCTCTCACATAGCTGTTTATATTTCCAACACCATTCGGCTTTTACCGGTTCTCACGGTCTCTTCGCTTGCGGATTTCTTATATTTTTCCTTCTACCCTGAAGATGGAGGCGATACGTGACTCCGAAACGTCGGTTAACACCACATATACACGGTGCCAAATCCCAGAAGACTGCTTTCTTCATAGTCACCGCCGTGAAAGCCTCAAATCTTAGACAGTAGTAGTATAGTTAGAGGCAAGTACACTTGGACAAGCTGAAGAAAATTATAAAAAATACCAGATAAGATAGCCGGTTCTGAGACATTAATGGCTAATATCAGATATCTCCCAAAGTAATTATGTGGGTATTTCTGCTATTCTTGTTTTAGATTCCATGACATGTGTTAGGCTGTCTGGTAAAAAGTATTCAATAAAAATAAATATAGACATACTTTCAAAAGCAATCTGTCATCAATATTTTTTCAGCTGATTAATATTTCAGGACACAGCGCTCTTATGTATATTACTGCACATACACAAATAATTTTTTATCTGTACCACGCACTCTTATGGCGTTAAAGGACAAGAACTTCCACTCATTTCACACCTGAGTGGATGGGAGTGAGTGGCCACTTTCACACATTACTCATGTACATTGCCCTTCATTGAGACAAGATGTATGTTGCAGGGTAAAGGTTTGATGGACACATACTGGCTAACATGTAAAGATGGCGGCATCACAAGATCATCAGATTTTGATGTCCCCACTCTTTTCGATGATGACCAACCTATGTTCATCAGGCGACTGCGTGAAGAGTACTACATATGATACAACGCACATCCCAGTGTGTCCTTTCTGAAACATCAAGAAATCTGTCACTAATTTTACATCCCATTGATACTGCTGTGACCAATGGATACAAATCATGTAATAAACCCCTGGTGCTAAACAAAAATGTAAAAGACCAGTGATGCATCTACAATGGAAAGTGTGCCTTTGTCATCTGTCAAAATAGAGGGACTGCAGAATCCATCACAGGGTGTCATTCTCAGCTATGGAACAGTGGAACCCTGAATGCCTTTGGGGTATGTATCACAGGCATTAGGTACATGTAGGATGTATCCATTATTTAATTTTTCTTTATGAAAACTGGACAATTATGGTGAAATGTGGTGGTGGTTCAAACATATTTCAATTACAGGACAATACAAAATAATGTTTTGGAGTTCCAAACATTCTGCAAATGTTTGGTTGCAATTTACACAAACTCATATTTTGAAACCATCAAATCATTTAATGGGTGGGATCAGTATCATCCTTTTTTTTTATAAATTCTGTGTGTGATTCAATGGTGTTATCAGCATCTAGATTATATAGTATTGGCTGGTGGGACAGCTGATGAATTGGGTAGAATGAGTCCTGGACTAAATGGGGTACTATTCTGCGCCCTAGCTCAAGCGGTTAGTCACTAACTTCCCACCACGGTGGCCCGGGTTCGATCCCCGGTCTGGTCAAGTGGAATTTGTGGTGGACAAAGTGGCGCTGGAGCGGGATTTTTCCGAGTGCTTCGGTCTCCCTTGCCAATATTCATTCCACCAAATTCTTTATCATCATAATCACCCGGGATGGTAGGCCAATCAGTGGCCGCCGTGCCAAGTGGACCCAGTTGGAATCCACACCCCACTAAGTTTGGTAACAGAATTGTCACGTGTTTCAGTGACTAAGACAAGGGTTTTGATTGGTGAATCGGTTTATTGGATCTTCACTAGTCGTAACTACACTCTCAAGGTTACTCTAACTATACCACATGTAATGTCACACACTAAGTCTTCTAATACTTCTTCTGGTCGCACTGATGTTCTCTTGGAACTTCGGAACTCAAGTGAAGTCAATTTCCATTCCCGTATTCTCTCATATCCTCTTAGCATGGACCACATACAGAAAACACAGTTCTACTGTTGCGTAGTGCAGACCACGCAGAAGACAAGTCACATGGTAACCATCTCACGAGTTTATTGGCACTCTGACAACTGCCAAACAACGCGCTATAAATATTTGTCCTCTTGTTGCGTGCATGTATCACGGAATGTTTATCGAATCGTTGCCTGGCAATACATTGACATGTCACAAGATATAATGCCGTTAATTAATGTTGTTAATAAAATACTTGTTAAACGAAAAAATAATTCTCATATTCTGGGGCCAATGTGAAGTAATTATTTTACTATAATATTATTATTACTCAGTAAAATTAATGGGAGAACAATTGCTTTAAAGTTCAAAGAAATTGAAAGTAAACTTAATAATTTAGCTGCAACCCTTGCCAACTTAAAGAAAACAAAACAGTGCAACCATGAAAAGAAGTATAATAATATAAGGCTACAATAATCAGACATAAGGTAGTGACAGTTAGCTACAGCATCATTTTGAAAGAAATGCAACTTAATAACAATCACCGTGGTCTCTGTCATTCATTTATGTCTGTCCTGCAACTATGATTATTTCTGTTTAAATAAGTGTAAACAGCTTTTTCCTTATTTCCTTACTTCTCACACATTGTATGTTGTAATATTTTTATTAGATTACTCCTTATAAATGTATGCACATTTTGTTATTCAACCTCATTTTCTGTTGACATAATGACTATTAAGCTGTTATAAAATTATTTAATCGTTTGATAATGTCTAGTTTAGGATGGATTAATTTAGTTTAAGTCAATTGAATTTACATATATTTATGTTGGCTCTAGAAAGCACAAATAAAACAAAATTTTCAAGAAAATTGTGAAGTTGTACCTCACTATTTATAGGTATGTAATGTAAATTAAGGATTACTTTTAAGTGTGAAGAATCAGCATTAGTAGATGGCATTAAGGAAGATGAGAATGTGGAATAAGAAGAACATAATCAGACCTCATGTTTCCACACATTGGACTGACTATAAAACCACTGGTAAGAACTTCTACTTCCTCTTTATAGCCCAGAGTTGTCTCCCAGTGATTTCCATTTCTTTGGGATTTTGAATGAGCAGGTCCGTCAGTTCATGTGTAGACTTCAAAAGAAACTGTGCTGCTCGATTTATAAATCTCATGGAGATAAAAAGGAAGCAATCCCTGTAACAGGCCATGGAGGCCCATAGGATTGTGAGACGTCGAGGCTCCCACACTTTCTAGATAGTCAGCTCACAGATGGCAGTGAGTTTGCAGTCTTATGCACCAGCCATACAAATCTCATACAGAACTGAAATAAATATGCAAAACTAGAGGGTAATTATGAAGGGAATTACAGCTCTCAAAATTCATGTAACACATTTACAGAGCACAAACAGAGAATGAAGTACTGGAATTTGCTGTATGAGTCTTATTCATTTTCCAATAGATGACTCACTGTATTACAGATCCTTTTCAGGTTTAGGATATAACCCAACTATTACTAATTATTTATGTTAGGGATTCTTTACATCTATACAATTTCATGATTTCAATTTGACTCTGTACGTTTAATGAGTATTTCCTTCCATGCAGGTTTTAGGTATCAAGAGCTCTAAAACTGCATATATAAGAAAATTCAACAAGAAAAGTTAATATTAATGTATGATTTGTCTGTGAGATAAATACTAATACGGTTTGCAACATAATGTAAGTTATCAGTAAAGGTAAAGCTAAAGTTGTCCCTGTGTTTAACTAATTAAGCACTATGCCATGAAGACATATGGGGGAGTGGATGTATAGATCCACGTTTTCTTGACCTCGGCATTAGTTGGAGGTGAGTGGTCCGCTTCACACCCCAGCCTCTCTATACCCAGAGAGAGAGAGCCCCTGGTATCCACTGGATAGGAGGCTAGGTTGGCTCCAGCTCTGGTTGTGATGACGTGGAGAAGAGAAAATTATTGACTTTACTGGGACTGGAACTCTAACCCTTCGGTCACGCAGCCTATAGCCAGTCAATATATCAACTGCCCTATCCCATGTGAGCAAGTATGAGACATAGTAAGTTATCAGTACTTAGTAATATTGTATTTTCAAGTCATATTGTGTGTGATCTCTTTATTATATATTCTGTTGAATTCCTGCATAAGTGAAATAAATTTAGACAGGTTTCACTTTACAACATGTTTCGCCCATTCAGGCCCTCATCAGGTAAGTCGATTTACATCAAGTGTTATCATAAAATGACTTATCCAATGATGGTCAAAACATGTTTAAAGTGAAAACAGTATAAAGTTATTCATTTCATACCTGAATTATGTAAACAAAACAAATGATAAATTATCAGTAATTATTTCTAATTTGTAAATATCAGTACTTAATTCACCTGTGTAACTTTTAAATTAACATTCACTGATCTGGTTCCATATAAGCTCTTAGGATTTGCTTCACAATACACATGAAATAAGGATTCTAGAACTTCAGATGTGTACTTGAAGATGATTTATGTAAACTTGCAAAGAAATTCAGCCCAGCTTTCTCTGTACAGAAAAGCTCCAGGTAAACATATGTCTAATACTTTGATGTACAGAACTTGTTTTGGAAAGTAGAAATGTTATAAATGCTATTGGTCATTGTAAGACACTGATGTCAAATAGCCTCTTTCATCTTATTGCAAATATTCCTTTAATTTCCTTAGAAATGAATATAATTTTATATTTTTTAGTCCATTTACCTCAATGGAATAAATTTTTGCCCCATTTATTTGCTCTCACTGCCACTCTAAGTAGGTACCTAACTATAATGAGGCATAGAGTGCTGTAATAGTGTTGAATAAGTACACAATAGATTCTTTTTCTACATGACAGAATAAGAATACATAATGAATTGTGATTCCTCAACATTTCATGCTCTATAATTTAATTTACTTAAATATGTATATTATCAAGGAAGAGATAGAATATTTTAAAGAAATGTTCCAGTTAGGTGGAAATTGAATGATGTTCCATTATGTTATAGTTTATGTTTAGTTAAATGTATGTGTGTGTATAAAATTGTACATTAATCATATAACGCCAGTAGTAAATATATTTTTCATGTTACTAAAAAAGAGACCTAAGTAATATATATTTTATAGCTATATTTGAACTGTATGATCCTTTCATGATTGTCTTTTATCATTAATGTTGTTGAAGGAGAGGACTGTCTATGTTTGTATGTGTTATACAAATTGTTTAAGATGTCATTTGTATCCAAGATAAAATTTATACAACTACTGTCCTAGTTGCAGGTTATAACATTTATAAAGACATTATTGCTTTTGATGGAATTTATTTTGAAACATATTATATGACCAAAAAACTTTACATGTGTATTTTCTCCAGAAATCATATAACTCACATTCTTATGCATACAACAGAACACAGGTTTTTCTTATAAATCTATGCTGCTAATGATGGCCTCTGAGGAGGAGAGATGTATCATTTCTTTTTAAAATCATACATACATAAGAAATTAAAGAAATATTTCGAAATCTGAATCATCTCAAATCTCTCTAGATTTTACAATCTGAATCAAACTTTGCATTTTAAAAGACTGGCACCTGTCTGCTACAAGTCATCACTCTATACAATATTACCTCCATGTGAATAATGAAACAAGAATTGTAAAACTGTTTATCTTTATGAGCAGATATGAGGAAAGTAAACTTTATATCTGTCAAATATACAAGTCTCAGCACTTCCAACAACAACTCCAGCTGATGAAAATGAATATTAAAAATATGAAATCTTTATACCCTTGAGTGGGATGAATACAACAGCAGCCTCAATAACTGAACAGCACACCATCATAGAAATGAAGTAATCTCTAACAGGCTGTTGCCAGCTGCTCTGATAAATTATAACAGATGTTGAAGATAGTGTTTTCTCAACTCTTCTTGACCCTTCTTCTAAACTTTACTCTTGGTTCTCCCTTACTTACAGAGACAATGACACTGTGTAACTTTTCTTTGTTCCTTTTGTAACAAAACCTACTAGAATCTACTTTCTTTACTGGAACAGAAGGTCCTATTCAAAGAAGGTTTTGTTTTTCTTCTCAAAACTGTTGTGCCATTTCACTGTAAATTGTCTAGCTTTCATCATCATACATATCATCAAGGCAGCACATAATTCACCTTAAAATCTAGATTCAACAGGTTGCTTCCTCTGTGGGATGTTGATGTTCACTGAGACAACCACATAACTATAATAATAAATGTTTATTGCTCTTAGAGCAGGAAGCGTGTCTGAATGATGCAGCGGAGACTCCTTTCATTGTAGCTAGTCAGGTCTGGTGGTGATGATGCCAACTGCAGGTCCCTAAAAGGGCCATTTGTCTAGCTGAGTGTTCTATGTAGCAGCCTGTGGTTCTTCTTTTGCTGCCACTTGGAGATTACAAACTGACAGGATTACAGCGAGTCTAGCTGGCTAGTGGAACTATGGTGTGTGGGCTGGCAGAGTTGGCTGCCTACAGTGCGTGTGCTGGCACAGTCGATGAGGCACGTTTACTGGAGAGTTCAAGCTGTGGTGATCTCTTCCTGGCAGTGTAGCAGCAACTGACATGACTGACGCTAGCCAGTTGGACCCCTGGGCGGCGCACGGACCAGTTGGCAATGGAGCTCCAGATATGAGCGCTGATTGTTTAGCATTTATGTGAATGTATAGAAAACCATATCGCAAGCTGTAGTGTATAAATATCGCCTGCTTTCGGTACACTGCTGGAGTTGTCTGTTATGCACTGTGGGAGGTTCTCACACCTCTTTGCCTTTCTTTCTTTCTTTCTTTCTTTCTGTTTCTCTATGAAATTACTTTTATTTTACTTCTTATGTTTTGTTCATTTTTTAGTACAATGCTTCATTCTTCTCAGGGTTATATGCTAAAAGCCTGATCAGCCTTGTTTCCTTCATTTATTACTTTCTACCTTTGATTGTACTTAAGAAAATGCTTGAATCTCATCTAGGTTTCTTGGAGAAGAGAGAGTCTGTGTCGATGCTGATGGTCCAGCATGCATGTTTTCTTCTGGAGCCTTACATGCAAGAAGTTATCAGTATAAGCTGAAGGATACTGGTAAGCCTTATTCACTGGTTTTTGAACTGTTGGTTCAAGCCTGTGGATTGCGAATGAGTTTAAAAACATGTACACCCTGAATATACTAGAATTTATATACCACATATATGCAATAATGCAAAATCTGTGCTGGATTTTAAATGGATTGAAAGCACTTGGATATGCCATACAAGCTAGGTGAGCGGTACTGAAAATTAACATATGTTTCCATGTGTTACTTAATATCCAGTTTCTGGTTGCCACATTGAGAATTGCTTAAATAGAATGACTGAATAGAAAAGTTTGTCCCAGTTACTCCATTTTTTGTCAGTCATAAAGGGAATACTGGTTATAAGCAATCAGACTATAGAATATATTATAATATAGAATAGAATAATTAATATTACATGATAAGGTTATAATTAACAATTGTCTGATATTGTGTTAGAACTCAAATTTATTCATATTCTGTAGACCATTTACATGACTAGGCCAAGTATGTAGAACATGTCATAATACAAATACAGTACGCTGCTTATTGTGAGGGTCATAAGAAACATACAAATGTACTCTGTGGGTAGAATGCACAATTTTAACATGTTAAAGCACGCTGTACACACTGTAACCAATGGGCATTAAAGGTTTGAATAAAGCATGACATTAAGGGCTGGGGCAGAGATTTTTCTCTTTGCTGCCTATCCAGATGAATCTAGGTCAACCATCCACCTACGTAATGCGCATCAGAAGCCCATGTTCCGCAGAAATAGCGATAGGAGCGTGAAGCTGACAGCCCAGCTCCAGGTAATGCCGATGTTAACCGTTTTTAATATTAACTTAAACTATTAACAGGTATCGGCAATACACAAAACAAACTGAGCATTTATCGGCTTGGACATGTAGGTTAGGTTATTGTTTAGTCCCTCATTCATTGTAACAAGTAGACTACAGGCTGGCTGATCGAAAAATCGTGGTTCGATTTTCGGAAGCGGAAAGAGATTTTTCCTTTATTCACAGGATCCAGGCCGAATCTGGAGCCCCCCAGACTCCTATCCAGTGGGTGGTTGGAGTACTTACCCCTGACTGAAGTTGCTGGGATGTATTGTCGGCCTTCCATTTCCATTTAATGCCGAAGTTAAGTATGCGTGGAATTTTTACCTCCATTCCCCCCCTCAGCCTTCTTGTAAAAGGTAAAAGGTAAAGTTGTCCCTGTGCTTAACTAATTAACCACTAGGCTATGAAGCCGTATGGGGGAGTGGATGTATAGATCCACATTTGCTTGACCTTGGCACTAGCTGCAGGTTAGTGGTCAGCTTCGCGCTCCTGCCGCTCTTCCCCGGGGGAAAGGGCCCCGGGTACCCATTGTATAGGAGGCTGGGTGGACCCCAGAGCCGCTCTGGACGATATGGAGAAAAGGAAATGCTGACACTACAGGGACTCAAACTCCGATCCCTCGATGGTCCAGCTCGTAGCCAGTCGCTATACTGACTAAGCTACGCCGGCTCGCCTTCCTCTAGTGGTTCCTAATTATACACAGGGTCATATTTACTCTCACCTTGCGTCTCTTTCTCAATAATTATTATATTTATCCGTCTTTTTCTTGTTAAGGAATTTATGTCTCTCGCTCGCATAGTCTCATACAACTTTGCCGGTAACGAAGGAATATAGTTTTATAAGAGGTACATAGTTCATGGGAACATATTTGTTCATTTTGTATTCAAATTTATTGCAAGATTTAAATATGAATCATTTTCTGTAGCTCTGGAGCTGAAAGACCAAAGATACGATGAATTTATTGTTAGTATTGCTACCAACTCTCAGATTTCCTCCTCAATACCCGCGCGAGGAATTCTGAAATTAGATATGGACATAGCGTAATGATCATAATGCACCTTGCAATTCCCGGTACGGACAATCTGCTGGCACGCGACTGTCCTCAGGCGGGTTGCGTCGTGCAGGAGTGTACAGTTACGACATCTCAGAATACTGGCAGTTATGACATAAGCTTCTATGATTTATTCTGATAACTCATCTTTAATGGACAGATTTGCTCATTGAATTTTAATTTCCTTACAAAATTGGGGAGTTCAGGGCCTTGCTGAAAATACGCAGTTATTTGTAAAATTAAAAAAAAAAAAATAGCACAAGAACAGAATGCATGAAAATATGAAATGAAGTATTGCCAGCATCACATATTGAAATTACCCGCACATACAACCTGTCCGATATTTACCAGTATACACTCAAGTACTAACCAACTTTCGGGCAAGCTTCCATGTAGACTTATAATTTACAGGCCTTACATACAAGTATATTTGGAAATTTTCGGCCTGTAACAATCTCGTCGCTGTAGTGTTTCGTTTTAAGTGTGTGGTTAATGTGCTTTGAAACTGATATACAGTTTTTAAATGACACTTAGGCAGCGTCTACCCGAGCGCACAAAATGCGTCCGTTGTAACGAACATACTTTGCTGAGGACGTTGCTGAGGACACCACACAGTTGCAGAATGCGGTCTGCATTGGAGTCAGAAGAAAGCGTAGCATTCGTCTCTCTTGTTTATTTTTACAACGGGAGTCACGACGTTCGTTACAACGGACGCATTTTGTGCGCTCGTGTAGACGCTGCCTTAGAATTTTGACAGGTAAACTGAGCCGGTCACAGTAGCCGAGCGGTCTAAGACAAGTACTGTCTTCGCTCGCTCGGAAGCCGGGATCGTTGATTCGAATCCCACTCAGGGCATGAATGTTTGTGTGCGTTTTTCTCTGTTTGTGTACAGATAGAGGCCTTGCGACTAGCTGATCACCCGCTAGCTGATCACCCGCCCAAGGAGTCCTACCGTATGTCTAAGATCTTTAAACCAAAGTGAAAAGGAGAGTTTCATGGAGGTAGGCCTAGGCTCAAATGAGGGCTGTAGCGCCAATGAAAAAAAGAAACATGATTAGGAGCCGGTCACGGCAGCCGAGCGGTCTAAGGCATGCGCTGTCATCGCTCGCTCGGAAGCCGGAATCGTGGGTTCGAATCCCACTCACGGTTTGGATGTTTGTGTGCGTTTTTCTGTGTTCGTGTACAGGTAGAGGCCTTGCGACGAGCTGACCACCTGCCCAAGGAGTCCTACTGTATGTCTAAGATCTAGTAAAACCGAAGTGAAAAAAACCACTAGAGTGAAGCAGTTAATGAAAATATATTTCGCATTAAAATTATATACAATGGCCAGGAGGAAAGAGGCCACTATAAATCAGTAGGCGAGAAGATAATGTTAAATGGATCTTTTATTTTTATTATTATTATTCTGCTCCTCCCTTCTGGATAATGCTAGACTTCGTGTTCCTACTTGCCATGTTCGAGACTTCTCTACTTTTAGCGTTCGTCCCTCAAAAAGACACTGTCCCTCTTCTCGGTGCGCCCTTGCTACCAACGTGGTGGGTAAAGATCTCGACATATTTGCTGACGGAGCGGTTTCTCTGAATCATATTTTACAAGCATGTACCGAACCTTTTACGGTGTTACTTGATTAGTGTTTTAATTCACTACAAATGTGTGTACCTCGGCTAACTTTAATTTTTCTTATGTAATTGGTTTTAATTTATTGACTTGTTATTAATCTTATTAATTTTATGCTATCACTCACAGGTGTCTTATCTTAGTATTTAGTTACTAACAGTATTAGCAACATTAGTAATATTTCATAAATGTATGTATATAGTTCAGTCTTCTTTAGATTTATGTTCACAGATTTATTTGTCATACTTGTATTTTGTTTTAATTATTTTCTGTATATACTCGTGCTAACTTTGTAATTGGCCACTGTGCTGTTGAGTTATTGCACGTAAATAAACATGAATTGAATTGAATTGAATTGAATTNTTGTACTGCGGCCATTTCTGGCCTATTGTACCAGCCCCAGATGATAGGTGAGGGTGACTATGGAGCAATTGGTGGAATGAAGATTGGCAGGGGAAACCGAAGTACTGGGAAAAAACCTGCCCCAGCGCCACTTTGTCCACCACATATCCCACTTGACCAGACCCGGAATCGAACCCGGGCCGCCGTGGTGGGAAGCCAGCGACTAATAGCTGAGCTATGACACGGTCCAAGATATCCACCTCATCGGGACTCGAACACGCGACCTTCCGTCTTGTAGCACAGTGCCTCAACCAATTACGCTACCGCGTTCCTTTAAACGGATCTTACGTAAATATTATGGGATGTTGTGAACTAAATTCAACTGACTCCGGAGAGAGACAAGTAGCAGGCTCTTGTTAACATGGAAATCAAAATTCGGTCTCCAAAAAATCGTGGAAAGATCTTGTGCAGCCGAGGATATTCCTGATATTTATATGTCACCGTTGTGGGACTTATCGTCCACGTAAAGATATATTGACGGTCCACATAACAGCCGCACGTGGAAACCCTCCCCTCCCCCCTACTCCTGAGCACAGAGACTTCCCCAAGGCACAAGTCATGTAATCGTTCACCCATTCACATAACGCGAGGTCTCCAACCTCTTCCCAAGGTTGGAAAGCTCTGAGGTCATGAAATTGTCCCTTGACAACTTACTAACCACTGCTCACTATTAATGGAACTTGAAAAAAGAAAAAGAATTACTGACATGTCACGTAATTACGTCATTCGACATTCCATAACCGTCAACCTCTCTCAGTCAGGACATCTGCTTCACGTTCGGATGATCCGGTTTTAAAATCTCAGCCTGGAGATGGGTTATCCTGATTAATAATTTTCGCGGTTTTTCCAAGTCCCTCCATACAAATGCCGGGATAGTATCTTAAATTAGGCCGAGACTGGTAGACTCGAAAGTATTCTGACAATGGTGTATGCTGTAGAGGCTCTATTAGACTTATTTTAGACTCTATCCATCGTCTGGTCTGTAGAAGACAAAAAACTACGTTTCGGAGACTGGATCTGTCTCCGTTCTCAGGTGGATGGGGCATGCCTCATGACGGCCCAGAAAATGGCACACTTCGAGTACTGCTTTAACATTTGTAGTGAACGAAACCGTTTAATAACGCTTACTAACTCTATTACTGCTTCATCCTTAATGGTCAGTTCCAGGTCACTTTCAGCTTAGGCATATTTTCTGTTCCATACAAGTAATCTTTTGTCAGTTATTGTTACTGAGCCAAGGGTAGTGATGAGTAGCTTAATATCAAAGAACAACGTCATCTCGAAAGAACTCAAATAAAGCAATTAATTTGTGCAATATGAGCAGTGGTCAGGCTTAATTGGATATGACATGCCAGTCTGAGTATCATATCAACGAAGCCACATCTTATTGGTTACAAAAAAGGTATGATTCTGCCCAGTTCATAAATCCAGCAAATATTTCTCTTTTTGGTTGATATGAATTTGGGGTAGTAACAATATTACTTCTTATTATTGCAATGACGTATATCTTGGAAACCACAATTTATCAGGAATAATTTTTATTTTTACTTCAAATTAAGGTTATCAGAATGTATGCCATATTAACTATTATTAAATTTAAATATATCAGCGTTGCAATTAGATTCTGGGATTGTTTGTAAAGGAATATCTTGGTTGTAAAACACAATAACACTCTTTTTGGGTGAAGTTTCACGCAGAGTATTTTAAGTATTCTTCATGCGAACAAAATGGAATTTTAGATAAATAGGCTGCAGGTACGCCGGCCACGGTAGCCGAGAATCCTAAGGCATGTACTGTCTTCGCTCGCTCGGAAGCAGGGATCGTGGGTTCGAATCCCACGCAAGGTATGAATGTTTTTGTGTGTGTATATGCGTTTATTCTGTGTTTGTGTTGTCCTGTGTTTAGGCTGATCACTCGTTCAAGGAGTCATACTGTCTGAAAAATGATCATTATACTGAGAAATCAACATTGTGCTCCGCAGTGGGAGCACAAGGAGAGGAAAGAGAAAGCCTGCAAGTATGTTAACTTGACTTGATATGGGATGGACCAAAATAATGGAGTTTTGACAATAAATTAGCGAAAAATTGAGCTCAAAAAAGGAAGGGAAACTCTTGACTACCTGAAAAGCTGTCAACTCCTGAAGCAGGGCATTGCGAGGCGGAGTTCCTCTAATTACGTAATTAAGCTTTAAATTATGTTATAAGCCCCCGTCCATATCTCCGATTTTGTAACTTAGTTTCTACTACAGCAGTAAGCTTGAAGCCTTCTAAGGGCAATCATTCTGGTGAGACAGGTTTTCTTACGTAGCCAAAAATTTAGGTACATTTAGGGTTCTCTTCTACGTTCATCGATCACAGTACCGCGCGGTTTAAGGCATGAAAGGTTTTCGTCCATTCGAACGCTGGGATCATGGGTTGGAATCCCACTCTAGGCATGAATGCCTGCTTGCATTTATTGTGTTTATGGTGTTCTGTGTGTAGGTAGCGGCCATGCGACGGGCTGACCCCACCTCCAAGAAAATCTACCGTCTGTGTATAGATTAAGAAATTGAAAAAGCAGCCAAGGTCCACAAGGGCTGTAGAGCCATGGAGAGAGAATCTTCTATATTCTGAATCGCTTTTTGACTACTTTCCTTCCTCAGACGAAAAAAGTAGGCTTATGAAGTCGCCATGTTATCTGTGTATATGTGTGTTTACCAATTTGAACTTTTTGAATTACACTACCGACTCTCACGAAATGAATTATGAATTTATATCACTGGAGCCTATACCACAACTGTATTTGTTCATGTTGTGCAATCAGCAATAACAAAATGGTGGACACAAGAACTGGTGAGGTAATAACGACATTAGGGCCAGTTACTCTATGGTCCTACACTGATGGATGCCACCTGTGAAATAAGTTGATCGAATGCAGAGCTGACTGACTGAATCATTGGGTGGGTCTCCAATGATGATCAGAATGATTTATTTTCTCAGTCAACCTAACAATATTATAGTAGTGGCCTCGCCATACCTCAAGCGGTTAGTCGCTCCTTCCCACCGCGGTGGCCCGGTTTCGATCCCGGGTCTGGTCAAGTGGATTTGTGGTGGACAAAGTGGCGCTGGGGCAGGTTTTCTCCGAGTACTTCGGTTTCCCCTGCCAATTTTCATTCCAACAATTGTTCCACAATCACTCTCACCTATCATCTGGGGCTGGTACAATAGGCCAGAAGTGGCCGCAGTACAAGGGACTTGGTCCCACCCTACTAGCAATAAACAAAAACAATATTATAGTAAAACAACATTAAAATATTTCTGTACTGACGCATTTGCGTGGACACTACTTCATGCAGGCGGACTATTGTGAGGTTAAAATGCTCAGATGAAAGTGACGCGGACATTGGTCCAGTGCATCCCCAACGTAAAGGAAAAGAATTCTATGAAAAATCCCGAAGGACCTTCAGTCTACATTCATTAACTTGGATTGGTTCCATTCTTCTAAAGTATTTGTGCACTACTCATAGAACCAGTTACGTATTTTACGTCATCCTCCCATCTGCTAACCCTCTACTCTCGACTCTGTATTTCCTCTGCCAGCCCCTCAGGTCCCACCGGTGAACTGACAGAGTTCTGCGACCGCTTGAGACAGCGCATGCAGTGATACGCGGCTAGAAGTTCGAGTCACTTTGCTTCAGAGGGTGGAGGCTACTAGAGGTACACCATTCAGCCAGTCGCTTCTCAGATCTACTCTCCGAACACAGGTGGGGAGAACTTGATATTTCTGTGGATCTCCAAATGTCAACATTATAATATTTATGGGGATTATTAGTTGGACTTAATGATTACTCTGAAATAACTGGTTAATCTTTTCATGTATGTATTTATGAGCTCTTCTAATGCATTTTTTCTTCATACTATTCCTGAGACGACGTAGCTCAGTCAGAGCAGGTTATCGTAACGGTAAAGCCCTAAACTTTTATTCGGGAGTGTAAAGTTTTACTTTTCAGCCGGGACACCTGCTATCCTGAGTAAGAAATTTCCTGGTCTTACACAGTAATTCCATTCAAATGCCGGAACATTATCTCTAGTTCATTATTCGCCAATTATCTTATAATCCGATGAGGTTATAATGAGATACATTGATAGCGCCGTAATGAAACTCCAAGTAAACACAATAAAGAGATTGGTTATTGCATGGAAGACCAGAGTGTGGTTCTTACCAAGGGCAGAGACTCCCCTCTTCCACTGACAGAGTCTATATTGAGGCTTTCCCCGGCTGCAGTGAGGACGGTATGCGGATTTCCTTTAATGCCGAAGCCTTGGTATACTTTAACTTTGCTTGCATGGCCCCCCCCCCATTTACCATTTCTTTATCAAATTTTTATTCATTTTAGTATTTTATAATACATGATCGTATATTTCTATATTAGCCCCCGTATGTTTATATGTTAACTAATTTATTAACAGACGCGCAAGGTCCACTTGTAGCCGGATGTTCTGTGACATTTTATTCAGCCACACCTTGTCAACTAAATTATAAATTTCACAATTTTATCATTTCTTATATTAACCTCATATTTTGGAATGTAAAATTTGAGGTTATCACGGAGGTGACTATGAAGAATACCGTCATGTGGCGCCGTGTAGATATTGTGTGAAACGACGTTTCGGAGGAATGTTTCATCTCCATTTTCAGGATAGAAAAATCCACAAGCGAGGAACCAGCGTGAGTAGGTGGCTGCTCCTGAAGATGGAGGCGATACGTTCCTCCGAAGCTTCTGTTTTCACAATATCTACAAGGTGACACATCCCAGAAGACGGCATTCTTAAACAAATAATAACGTTCACTTAGTAATATCAAAAGATATTATTACAAAATTCATTGATAAAAATTATTTTCGTAAATAATGTTGCGAACCATTGGTACACTTGTAGTGCAGGGGACACTGTTCCGTCTTTAGTAGACAGCCGGGTTGATCTTATTTCGAAGTGATACTGAGTCTTAACACCGAGAGAAACGAACGGGGTATGTAGTTGCATACTGCAGGCTCATTCTAAATCGTTGTCGGGGTTTCCTTGGCCTATAATTTTCAAAATTTACGTGCCACAAAAGGAGTGCATGTTGAAGTTGTTTACCACTCTGCAATATTGTTTCTAAAGGCAGTAAAACGCATTGAATTAATTTTCATATTCCGTTAGAACCTCAGCATCTCACAACCCTATGGGCCTCCACGGACTGCTACAGGGATAGCTTTACTTTTACTTCATCTTACGAAGTGCTGAGGATCAGTTTGGGCCTGTGAGAGAGAAAGTAACTGGAAGCTAGGGAGAAGTACATACTGAGGAGTTCCTCAATTTCTTTTCGTCGAATTCTACAATTAGGGAGATGAAGTCAGAGAACATGAAATGGGTGGAGTGTGTAGCAAAAATGGAGAAAGATTTGAAATGTATAAAATTCTGTTCGAAAACTTTAAAGCAGCATACCACATTTTGACAGTGACAGTGACAGTTCCGTACATTTAAGCTACATGAGCAGCAGCTTAAACCCTCCAAATACCGAAAAGAAAAATTCACCCACAAAGCACTAGAATATTCTCTTCTAAATCTCGGAAGATAACAAACGTTTGCCCTCAACTTCTTTGTTTAGAATGATAATATTAAAATAAAAAAAAATGCTGAAATTGAAAACAAATTGGGAGTAGGCATCTTTTTTACGGTGAAGCTGATGGTTTCCAAGCAATATATTTGTGTAAATCCATATCCATACACATTTCATTCTGACCTTTATTGAAAATAATATAAAGGGCCCAAATTTTATATGTGGAGATTTCGGGAGGGGGGGCGGATCTTTTACATTATTATAAGCAAAAATGTACATAAATTTTGCATATATATTGTTCTCATTAAATTTGATCCTTGATTTTCCTAACGCCCCCCTAGGACGTCATGCATTTTTCGCCTATGCTATCCATATAAACTGATACAGGTCAAAGTGACTAACAGTACCTATTCAGTGTGAAAAATATGCCTGCATGACTGGAAATATGTGGCTCATACTTGATTGAATCTTTGTTTCAGCAACTCTTAAGTCGCTTTCAAGCTGAAGGTGATTAGGGTATTTCGATATAATTGCTGTTTTTTTCACACAGTTATATCGTAACTGAAAGCAGAAACACCTCAATGGCTAGTTGTGAGATTTCCAAGTATTACGAGTATAAATCCAAAATTCAGGAAGAGTCAATGCTTCAAACTTGGTCTTGATAGCTGTATTGTAGGAAAGTCCCATCAGAATTTCGGATTACCTGATGAGTCACGAATCCATTTTTACACAACTACGCAACGTACAAATATTATGTTTTTTGGACATTATCCATCGTCACAAACTTTTAGATCCTGTATCCACAATGTACGTCTTATTGTGCCAGGTTTTACTAATAAAATTTACAGTTCTGAATGGGCGTCAATTACCGTCAGATATAATACAACATAAGGTACATTATGTTAACTTGTTTTTTTTTCAGATCAGCCCTATTTGAATTCTATTTATGCTCCCAAAAGTTCCTTTCTAGAACCAGAAGTAGGTATTTGAAGAGCTAGGCTAAGTCCATTAACATTCCACTTAAACCCAACATTCTCTTCCATTTTTAGAGCTTGGAAGGAACTCTCTACTGGCTTATGAAATACAAATTTGAAAAGATAGGTCAAGCTAATTTGACTTCTCTCTTCTGCTCAGTACTTGTTCCATATTTAAAGTTGTGATAATACTCCTGTTAGCTTCAGATGTATAAATTCGGTAGGATGTATCAATTTTCCGATTTCAGCTAAGTATATTTTAATTCTGGAAGGAATTTCTATTATCAGAAATACAAAATTGAGAACATATACTGTAGTAATTAGTTTTCCACTTCTCAAGTTCCTAAGATAATATATCAGCACTACAAATTTAAATATGGAGGCCGTATTTTTTTATTTTCTCATATCAACTTTTCTTCTAGATCATAAAGAGTTCTGACGATAATGTATAACACAGGGAATGCAGAATTACTGGGTTTTTGGACTTTGTCCATCGTCCGGTATTCTGGAAACTAGAAAACACAACGTTTCCGAAAGTGGGTATGCTTCCGTTTTGAGGTGAGGTGGGGAAAAATGGTGCACAGGTATTCAGTTGGGTCCCGTATAAAGAGCTCTTTATAAGAGACACAACTGAGTACGTGTCTCCCCCCCTTACCTCACCTTAGGCTGGAAATAGGTCCAGTTTCTGAAACGTTGTGTTTTATAGCATCTAGAACACCGGACGATGAACAAAGTCCAAAAACCTAGTGTTTCCAAGTTGTTTTCTGTTTATAGAGTTTCGATGGGACAACTACTTCTTCCAGAAGCACAAATATGAAAGAGCAGCTTATATTAATTCATTTTCTCATATAATTTGAACCTTCATCCCATTTCTAAAGCACAACACAGCGTCAGAATCCCACATTTAAAGTAGGGAGTTATATTAGTTAGTATGCTACGACCCGCTCAAAATTTCCATCATCTTTAGAGCTTAGAATTGCCCCATATTATCGTATCAAATACAGATTTCAGAATGTAGGTTATGTTAATTTATTTTCTCACATCAGCGTAGTTTTTTTCCTTACATTTTTATACTTAAGAAGGGCCCTTGAATAACAGAAAAAATGTAACAAGGAGTTCTGGAGAGAATTACTCGCCTACTTTATTTTCATACAACACGGACGGCATAACAATTCTTCTATTATTGCGTGTGTATTTTTTGGCGCAACAACATTTTACCGAGACGTTGCATAGCAACGAAAATAGGATACACTTTACCGAACCTCTTCCTAGCAACAAAAGGTGGAATACTTATACAGACACACAGACCAATGGGATGATTTTGTGAAGTACATATTTGAGACAGACTCAGGTGCCATAATACACTTTTTTTTATTGCTAGTGGCGTGGGAGTAAGTCCCTTGTACTGCGGCCACTTCTGGCCTATTGTACCAGCCCCAGATGATAGGTGATGGTGATTGTGGAGCAATTGGTGGAATGAAGATTGGCAGGGGAAACCGAAGTACTTGGAGAAAACCTGCCCCAGCGCCAGTTTGTCCACCACAAATCCCACTTGAGCGAACCCGGGCCGCCGCGGTGGGAAACCAGCTACTAACCGCTTGAGCTATGACGCGGCCATGATACACTTATTAATTTCATAAAGACTGGTTCAGACAGTGGGATTCACAGAGATACAGAGAGAATGGAGACCGCATAAGCCTTCTTTAGGTAAGTAGGCTAAAATGGGAGGGTAGAAACTGTTAATCCCTTTCAGGCAGAATATAATAATCGGACGGGCAGCTTCATGGTCCATAACCTCAGTTCCTTTCGGAATTTTATAAGTTTGTAGTTCTGCTAGTCTTATTATAGGTCTGTTTATTGAAGTATTTGAAGGATAGCAGGCGGCGTATGTTCCAACAAATATTGCTCAGAATATATTTACCGCCTCAAATTTATGAGCATTCGGACATGTGCGCAAAGTATAAGCTGAAAGAGAGGGCACAGGCTAATTCTTCCATACATTTAAAGCGTAGGCGTTCAGGATTGTACGTATATCAGAGAACAAGGATGTGATATCCAGAAAACTGCAGCTACAAAACTGCATATATATGCAGGTATCGGATCACATTTCCAATTTCCCGTGGTATCATAATATTGAAGATATTTCAATAATTGCATGCACCTCTTGATTTATGGCATCTGTTGACAATCCGTGTTTTGATTCATAGCAACGGCTTCATGTCTGTCCATCTCACATGAAACTGGAGCTAAAGTAATTCTTCGAACGCCATGTTGTAACATATTCTAATATTTAAGTAATTAATTCTTGTGGTGATTTGCATTCTATTATAAATTGTACGCAACTCATGCTGAAATAAGATAAGCAGTAACATCATTAGAGACTTGTGTCCTCCAGTCGCAAGAAGTACTAGGAAATACACAAGGTCACTTCAGATATCTTCATCGTATTCATGTCAATAGAAACCTACTTTTTTTTTAAAGAAACCTTAGGCTAGGAACACACACAGCGGCATCGGTCGTACGACGTCCGTACGGTTCATGTCGCATCAAGTAGTAGAATATAAAGTGTAGTCTTAGCTTTCATACGTGGCGACATGCGACATCTACCGTACGGCAGTCGGACAGCAAAGAACTTAATGTATTTGGTGAGAAGGAAAATAGCTATTCAAAATTAGTTTTACAATTTAGTATTCCCTCTTTACGCTTGTGGCTGCCAGCAATGAACTACATTCTCGCCTCGCAACACTGGTTTCGAGTTTGTATATAGGCTCGCACAGCACGGGTTTCAGCCTCAAGGAGCCTCAAGCAGAGACCCACTTCAGTTGCACAATTCACAGTCTCTATAACACTTTTATCCAGGCATATTCATTCTGGAAATTACTCGCGAGTTCTCCGCCAAATTCTTATGGGTGTGAAGTTTGGTTTCTCACATTAAATTTAAAATTGAATTCGCTTAGTGGGGGGTGAAGTCCAACTGGGTCCACTCGGCATAACGGCCACTGATTGGCTTATTGTAGCCTGCCCCGGGTGATTATGATGATGGAGAATTTGGTGGAATGAAGATTGGTAGGGGAAATCGAAGTACTTGGAGAAAACCCACCCCAGCGCCACTTTGTCCACCACAAATCCCACTTGACCAGACCCGAGATCGAACCCGGCCCGCCGCGGTGGGAAGCCAGAGACTAACCGCTTGAGCTATGGCGCGGCCTTTCTCGTATTAAGTAATAACCTTATAGGCTAAGGGTGTTTGGGAACATGGTGCTCAGTGCAATGTTGTGACATGACAACGCATTACTAGGCAACGGCTCCATAGACACCCCGCAATACGCGTACGCAACAATAGGACGAATGTTTATAGCTTGTTCTTAGACAACAGTCAGCCCACCAATGGACTGGCGAGATAGCTATCACGCTACCCAATAATATAACTGTGTTTTCTGTTGTACGTGCGAAGCCTATATAACGAAGACCTGCTGTAGCTGAGATTAGCGAGTTCAGCAGCTGAGAGTACAACGATGAGAACGGGGCGTGTCCTTGGTGAATTGTGAAGTTTAATTTAGTGCAGATTAGGACACAGAAGTAAAGAGCGATTGAAAATGGAATGGCAAGAAAACTTCATAATGATTTGAAGTGTTACTTTCTGTGTTGAGATCCGTTGCCAGGAGACGACTAAAGGAAAATGAGAACCCTAGGGCGTGTGCAACGGTGAACTCCAAATTGTGTAAATACAGCGATAACCCTGTATTAATTGTAATTAAGAGGGATTGTAACCGAAGTGTCAATAAGTCCCATTATCCGATCTACAACCCGTTATTTTTGTTTGCTTGAATTAATCTTCAAACATGAAGAAGGAAGGGACATATTCCACCGAAACACCTCTTAACATTTGGCTGGGCTAAACGGCGATATAGCTCAGGAGATAAACACTCAAGTACCAAATGTTATGCGATATCATATAGGACCCCCTCTAGTCCAGCGAAGTGCAGTAACTCAGCGTTGCATCTATTCCACATGTGGACAGAATATCTCTGGAGAGATGTTGAGCCATACCGTCTGGACAGCCGCCGACAGCTCGCTGTTATTTGTAGGTGCAGGATCTTGGGTGCGAATGCACCTCCTCACCACGTCCCATAAACGTTCGATGTGGTTCATGTCGGGCAACTTCTATGGCTACACCATTCGTCGGAACCCTCCAGAATGTTCCTCGAACAAATTCTGGACAACTTGGGCCTGATGACATTGTGCATTGTCCTACTGGTACATCCCATATTTGTGGGGGTACATGAAGTCCGTTTAGGGCAGCAAATGGTCTCCAAGCAGTGCAACGTAGAGGTCACCGGTCAATGATTTATTTAGGTGGACCAATAGACTCAACCCACGCCACATGAATACACACCACACCAGTACAGAACCACCACCAGCCTGTACGAGGCCTTGTTGACAACCAGGGTCTGCGCCACAACCGAAACAACTGGTAAAGGGGCTCACTGGACCACGCCACATGTTGTCACTCCTCTAGGGTCCAATTAGCGACGTCAGAAGCCCAGAGGGAGGCGAAATATTTACTCCAAGGGAAATGCGAGCAGGGGTGCTTTAAGTTTCTGTTATGTCCCCTACTTTGTACAGTACGTATATATGTAAATGATGCAACCAAAACACCTAGTGTTTACCTAGCCCTCTTTTCCAACGACATTTGTCTGTACGCGACAGATCGAAAGGAAGATTTTATTGTCAGAAAAGTGCAGCGTGGTCACAGTTCAACGGAGACCTGATGTGAGCGCTGGAACATTGAAATTAATGAAGATGAGACACAGGGATTTTCTCTGCTCGCAGTCGTCGACCGCCTGAATCCCATCTTACACTGAATTAACGAAACGTTCCATTTGTAAATGGTGTAAATATCTCGGTGTAATAGTCGATAAGAAAGTTACTCAAGAATAGACATAGAAATGATCGAAGTAGAACATTTATTAGAGTATATCCCCTATTCTGAGGTGAGCGAGTAAGCACTAACATTAAACTGAATCTCCGGAAAACACTCATTAGGAGTATCATGACTTATGTAACAAGTATAGATTGTTCATAAAGGTCGTGCCAATGCTCCTATGTTATGGCTGGCGTTGTCAGGGATGAGAATGTGTGTTCCAGAGCTCTTAGAAACATAGCCACACTATTTTCTCAGTCTATATTGATCCTATGATGTAAGAAGCCAGTCTCTTATCCATACAAATCGACGATTCAGGAATCATCTGCCACGTCTCCAACAAAATCATCTCAAAAGCCTCGCTTGTGCTTGGCCTTCAGACTGTGTTTGCCTGCTTATGTCTTCCTGATGCTTCCTTTCCTCCGCTCACTTCGAGTATTATTATATAAAGACCCATTCGCTTTATAATTCAGAGATTGGAAAATATGGCTTATGTAACATATGTCTTCTTTCAGAATCATAACGTCACAGGTTTCTTTATGTTCCTTGCTCGGAGACGCACATTTATCAAATTGGCGATTGTTATTTTTTCAGATGTATCATCATCTTGTTTGCTGAATCCGAAATTCAATTCACTCATCTCAGTAGTACATAGAAATACACAGTTCATTCTGACAGAGCTTGCTGTCATCTATGTGCCGATTGTCTAGAAAATGTGGGAACCTCAACATCTCATAACCATATGGGCCTTCACAGCCTCTTACAGGGATACCTTTATTTTTAATGTATAGCGACATGTATAATTTTTTCCAAACTTCTTATCCTATATTCTGTTCACAGGGGTTATGTTTCCCTTAACCAACGCGGAGCCAGAACCTAAGACTCCCAGCTGCCAGCCGACAGCGGCAGACTGCACAACGGAAGCATCCACTGCAGGCGTGCTCAAAGTTGGCTGTCTCCGCGTGGATCCGAGTTCGAAGACCGGAAAGAGGATCTACCTTTTGCAGATGATTATATTTCCGTTCATCCCAATCGCCGCGCTAATAGTACAAAACCTCTGTACCATGGTGAGCGTCGCCCTCGCAACTAGGGACGCCACGGCCATAAACGAACAGGTGAATATCTGGTGATCATCAACAAGCAGAAAATCGATTAGATAATTTCTTGGGGTGGAGTGAGACTGAGTCCACTAAGATGATGATGATTATTATTATTATTATTATTATTATTATTATTATTATTATTATTATTATTATGTGAAGCAGCAGGTGGAATCAGAACTGGCAGAATAGATCAAAGTACTCGAGAAAAATTACTCCAATGCCATTCTGTCCACCACAAATACCACAAGATCTGGGAAGTCGGAAGTCGGCAACCAACCGGCCTGACCTATGGCATGGCCAACTAAATCATGGAGTGGCTCAGCAACTGGTAGATTCTCAAGAATGACTCATTTCCATGGAGGGAGGCAGATAGGTAGTCTGTAGCTCAGGTTATATTGCGTCAAATGGTGGTAAATAATGAATTGCAAAGGATCTGGAAGGACATACTGGTTGGTTTGTTGGTTGGTTTATCGGTTAGTTAGTTAGTAAGCTAGTTGGTCAGCTAGCTGGTTGGTTAGTTATCCAGGTAGTCAGTCGGTTAATTAGTAAATTAGTTAGTTAGATGGCTGGTTAGTTGGCTAGCTAGTTAGCTAGTTGCTTAGTATTCCGAATATGACTGGAGGGACTGAAAAAATCATGAAAACCTCAGTCCGGGTAGACAGTCTCAGGTCCGAGATTTGAATTCGGGACCTTCTGGGCAGGAAATGAAAGTGCTCTCCAACGAACCGCGACCTTCAGTTACATCGTTGTGTGGGTCGCGTCATAACTAAAGCGGTTAGTCGCTGGCTTCCCACCGCGGAGGCCCGGGTTCGAGCCCGGGTCTGGTCAAGTGGGATTTGTGGTAAACCAAGTGGCGCTGGGACGGGTTTTCTCTAAGTACTTCGGTTTCCCCTACCAATCTTCATTCCACCAAATTCTCCATCATCATAATCAACTGGGGTATGTACAATAGGCCAATCAGTGGCCGCAGTGCTGAGTGGACCCAGCTGGACTCCACCCCCCACTAGCGAATTAAAACAAAAATATATCGTTGTGTCCCTTACGGATGGTCTACGTGTATTTCTTTCGCAAGAACAGAGATCGCTGAAGAAATTGTGGACCCAATAGAGACGAAGTAAGCGAGGGCATGGGATTGAAAAACGTTGAAATTGATCATCTCCTACTGTCAGGGTAGTCAAATAAAGAACATTTCCATGAACCGCGTACCCTTCATGAGGGGATGCAATAGGCATACAAAATCGTAGTAGGAAGATCTCCCATAAACTGAACACATGAGGGGCCAAAATATGTGGAATCCCATATTCTGAGATACATCGCTGTGTAGTCCTATATTTAAGCATCCTGTTGCATTACTATATCTAGAATTGTTTATGTATTACACAGTCCGTCAACAATGCAACAAATTGTTCCTTCTTTCCTACACTTTCACTTTCGACATTTTTCGGCCATTTAGGGCCGAAATATATTGTTGCAATATTTGTTGCAACAATTTGTTGCATTGTTGACGGACTGGGTAGTACATAAACAGTTTTAGCTGTGTAGTCCTTTGAAAGTCAGTGGAATACATGGCGTTATAACGCAGTAGATAAAAAGTAAAGCTATCCCTGTACCAGGCCATGAAGGCCCGTAGGGTTGTGAGACGTTGAGGGTCCCACATTATCTAGAAAATCGGCTCAAAGATGGCGGTAAGGTTGTCAGCCTTACACGCCATCCGCGCTTTACTCCCCAGGAAAATTATTTAATTACTTCCTGGTATTCATTTCTGTTAGAGGCTGAGTGAATCCCAGGGCCATAGTGCAGCTGGAAGGATTAGGTCAATTACTACCTCTGACATCTTAAATCCTAGAAAAATTAGTGGGTTGTAGGGATGTTATGAGGATGAAAATAACTCAGAATTTTATACAACAATAGTATTTGCGTTTAGCAATATTCAATCTTCGGACCGCTAACAGAAGATAGCTAAAATTTTCTGCAGGAGATGTTTACTCCCTTTGCTGCTGTATTTGCAGAAAGGAAACGGGATTGAAGGCGACGGACGAGAGAAGGTCAGTTATATAAAGGCTTACGAAGTCAATTCAGAAATAAAAGAAATTAAGACTTCTGTACGTTTCACGGGGCTACAACGTGAAGATGTTGATTCTGCTTTCGGTTTGCAACATTGAAGATTAATATGCTTTGGTCAAAGGGATTAAAAATCTAATTCTGACATTCTCCCTCAACCCCTGTATAATCTGCACCTCCCCCGTATGACTTCCTCATTTTCTGAACGACTAAAAGAACGTTACATGATGCTGATTTTCAAGACGTGTAGGAAGTGATGTTTATTTGGCTTCAAGAGCAACGAAAAGTGTCTTCAGACGGAATCGAGAAGCTTGTGGACTAATACCACAAGTATTTAGGAAATCAGTGGAATTAACAACGAAAGTTGTGCTTAATTCTATTTTCTTTTCGTAAATTTATTAAAGTAATAAAAATATATTGCCTTTATTTTTCAATTTCCCTCTTGTTATAACTAATGGATCCATGGCCTAGTTTGTAGCCTGGCCGACTCCAAGACATTTTTCCCAGTTCCTTTTTATCCAACTCCCTTCATCATCGCCGTCCTAAACTAAGCATCCTAAGATTCACCAATCACAGTTTTGGTCTTCTAAATCTTCAACACCAATCTGGTTATAGGAGGGTGAATTTTTAATGGGAATATCTTCTAAAATTCAGTAACAAAACCTGCCTGTTGTAATCTTCCAATTGTTATCGTTTTAACAATATCTGATTCAGAAAACTGTTCATATAATTCATTGTTATATCTTACACGCCAGAATCCATTTTCACACGGAAGCCAAATATCCTTCTAAGTACCTTCCTTTCGTAAACCCTCAAACTCTTTTCATTACTGAGTTAATTTCCCACCCTCACCTCCATATATCAGTACAGGCATATCCCACACATTCATAATTAAATGTTTATTGTTTAGAGGTTAATTTTCTTTTCAAGATATATCAAGTTATATTTCTGTCCTGAATTTATTTCGCAGATCGAGCTAGCAGATGAGGTTGTCGAATTACTTACCACCCTGCAACTCGAGAGAGGACAGGTTGCGTATTATATCTTCACGGATGGAAACAGGTGAATTCCGATGTTCTGTATTAGTAATAATAATAATAATAATAATATTATTATATGGTCCTAATCACTATATTTAATTTAAGTGATATTCGGAGTTTAATCTGTTATTTTCTTTGTGGTGATTTTAATTTTATTTTGTTTATTGTTTCCGCGGTAGAAGGTTTCAATCTAGAACATTTTGAGGAAGAATTGTCACTCATAACATGTTGTCAGTGTTAACCTAGAGACATCCAGTAATATATAGATCGGGAATCAGAATATATTATTCAACTCTATCCACTCCATATGGAAAATCGTATGTTGGTTGCCTGCTAGATTGATGTTCATCGTTCTTGATTATGACCGACGTAACAATAAATGAAATTAAATAAAATACACGAACTCTCAGCTGAGTATCAACTACTCATCAGAAAATAGAGCAGGTGTAAATCCGAGACTTAGTGGATAACCCTAAGAAAATTCCGTGGCTTTAGTCAGTAAGCAAACTATACCGACCGAGCGACCGCCACTTGCCGGTGAAGTTAGTGTCAACTTTTACGGATACAGGGTGTCGCGTGGTTAGCGCAACGTATCCCCACGTCCGTTAATTTCGGTTTTCTACACCGGAACTGCCATTTTTCCATTCAAGTAGCTCCTTAATTATCCTCATGAGGCTGAGTGGACCACGTTCTAGACCCACTACTTCTCAGAAAAACTGGTAACGCCGGGAGTCGAATCCAGGACCTCTGGATCTGTAATCAGGAACTCTGACCACAGACCAGAGAGGCGTTCGGATAACCCTACCATTAATAATGCGTCAATTCTGATTTTATGCACATATTTCATTCTGAAATATTAAGAAGCAGATAGGCTAATTTTACTCTCTAGGAACCTATAATTTGTACTCTTCACTAAATATTTCTAGATTAACAAAATCAAAGAGGATGAAAGGAAAGAGGCATGCAACATGCATCGAAGCTAATGTAAGTTAAGGCATACAACATTTCATTTGAAGAACCTGCAAGTCGGAGAATATTTGGGAGAGGCAGGAACGAACTTTAGGATAGTATTAAAATAGATTTTATAGCATATGAAGGTATCACTGGTTCAGGTTAGGGTCTAGTAGCTGATTCTTATGAACACAGTAGGCTAACGTAATTCCTTTTCCATACAGGTTTCCAAATATCTTACCAGACAAGTTATAAGTTTCTCAAGAAGGGCCTAACTCCACAGAGTCTATCGTCTATAAATACGTTGCTAAAGTCAGATTCTATCTCCTTAATTTTCTGTTAAACTTTGTTATAGAACGGCGATTTATAGAAGAGAGTCTTAGCAAAAATAATTTTGTTTATTTCTGCCCACGGAAGCAGGAATTTAGGTTGAGACAATAGACCTCGAGGAACTGATTTCACTCGTAACGTTCATTCATCTCAGGTTATTTCTTCAGGTTTACGTTTATCCGGCTTTACCGCCAGTTATACTGTGCTTCATGTATGCAATTCTCTTCCTCTTGCACATTTCAGATCTAATTTGGTGCGTATGAGACTTGATAATTCTAACAACAGCTAAGAATACCCAGGCACAATTTTATTCCGCAAGAAGTTTACATTTAGCTAGTAACCTTCCGCATGTTTTCAGTTTATTCATAATTCTTGATTCAATTAAGACAATGGCTCGATCACGTGTAGTGATTATCTTTACGCTAAATTGTTAAGTTGCCGGTCACGGTAGCTGAGCGGTCTAGGGCATGTACTGTCTTCGCTCGCTCGGAAGCCGGGATCGTGGGTTCGAATCCCGCTCAGGGCATTGATATTTGTGTGCGTTTTCCTGTGTTTGTGTACAGGTAGAGACCTTGCGACGAGCTGATCACCCGCCCAAGGAGTCCTACCGAATGTTTAAGATCTAGTAAACTGAAGTGAAACGGAGAATTTCATGGATGTAGGCCTAGGTCCAAATTGAGGCTGTAGCGCCACAGGAAGGAAATTAACTTATAATATTTAAGCGAATATTTCTACGATATCTCTTCCACTTTAAGCCGTCTTTAGTGTATAAATTTTTGACACAGGCTCAATAGAGGCGGAAGTAAATTAGAAATTTAGTCAATTTCCTTTCCTTATCGAGTATCATTCCACTATGAATTGAAATAGTTAACTGTTATGTCTACTCATACCTTCCTTATAGGACCAATTTGAATTCAGTCTTCAACCAAACCAACGAAAAGCTAACCACAATATCCTGGCAAAACTGGAAATACATTTTCAAAGATGATCAAGAGTTTCAGCGGCATTTGGACCAATTCAGGTAAAAATTCTGTTATTTTATGACCATTTAGTTAAGAGTGAAATATATTTACATAAAGGTCTTTAGTCACATACAGGTATGTAAATGATAACACTGCAGCATTGCCTATCATTAATTTTTATTTTAATGCTAATGGGGTGGGACTAAGTCCCTTGTACTGTGGCCACTTCTGGCCTATTGTACCGACCCCAGATGATAGGTGAGGGTGATTGTGGAGCAGTTGGTGGAATGGAGATTGACAGGGTAAACCGAAGTACTCGGAGAAAACCTTCCCCAGCGCCACTTTGTCCACCACAAATCCCACTTGTCCAGACCCGGGATCGAACACGGACCACCACGGTGGGAAGCCAGCGACTAACCGCTTGAGCTATGGTGCGGCCTTTACCTATCATTAAGTCTTCTATCTATCTCCATAGAGCTGAGCCCTACTTGAAAAGTCACCGGCTGTGCTGTTACTTAAGAATTTCTCAATATTTTATGCAATCCGAAGCTACATTGCATTACTCACAAGAGCCCTTCACTGATCCCTATCCTGAGCCAGTTCAACCCATGCCACACCACCCGATCCTGTCTATCTACAATTCATCTTAATGTTATCTTCAATCGCTGAACAATCGCTGTTTATCTGCCAGAAAGCCGATGGCTACCGTTTTCTTGGACAAGAAATGAGTGCTGATCGTGAAATTCATGCAACAAGGGACCTCAATAATGTCAGAAGTATACTGCGAAACACAACGTGTAAAAAAATCTCTAGGGCCATTCAGAACAAATGGCGTGGAATGCTGACATACGGTGTACTCGTAGCTATTCACCATGAAAATGCGCGTCTGACCATCCTCCTCACAGGCCTCTTCTCGCTTCTAGCAAATACAACCTCTTTAATCATACCTACCCGAAGAACAGATTAGGATCACAGGGCTTCAGCAATAACGAAGAGTTTATGGAAGGTGTCGAAATGTGGCTGAGCTCACAGGCAGCAAACTCCTTTGACACAGGAATATACGCGTAAAAGGTGATTCCCCGATATAACAAATGCTAGCCTGTGATAGCGAGTAGTAGCCAGACACGGCTAGCAGTCAGTATCCAAGAATTCCGGCCAAGATAATTTATGAGACAGTCGGTCGCCGGTAAGGACGTGAACACGGAAGCTGAAGACACTACATTTTTGGGAGCTGTTACCAAGCAACGACTCGTGAAAAGACAGCAGATTGAGAAGACTTTATGTAATCTATAGTGAATTATACAGAGTGTCCCAAGTGTTTGGTGCCATACTTCAGGAACGTACTGAGGGTTCCCTATAGAATAACTTTGAAATAGGAACCCATGTCCGCAAACGTAAAATAGCAGCGCTAGGGCGGCATTTAATAACATTTTGTTTAAACTTAGCGCCTCAATGTCGAAGAGCATGCACAGGCATATTACCCCTTCCAAACTCTTTAAAACTCACCTGCTATAGTAGATATTGGAATTGGAGTCCTCCAGCTTCAATGCCTGCGTTACATCGACAAAAGAAACTTTGGCGCACCCTTTCAAATATTCCAGGTGTACATGCAACAAGTATTCTGGCCAACAGCTCGAATTCATTATCCACAGGAGTGTCGTAGATCGGGTTTTTCACATGGTCCCAGACGAAATAGTCCATAGGTGTCAAGTCTGGGGATCGGGGTGGCCAAGGCACTGGGCGTCCTCTTCCTATCTAACGACCATGAAAAGCAGCATCCAGGTAGTCTCGTGATACAATGCTGAAGTGTGCCGGCGCTCCGTCAAGCTGTATCCACATTTGCCTCCGCACAATCAGCAAAGTCGGAAACATACGTTTCAGGAACACCTCATAAAAGGGCCCATGAGTCGCTGTGGTAGAAGGAAAAGCCCAATCAAGTGATCGCCAATGATGCCCGCCCAGACATTGACAGAACATTGCGCCTGATGGTAACCAACTACAGTAACGTCGGGGTTTTCGTCAGCCCAAACGTGGCTGTTTCGACAATTGAACCAGCCATCTCTTGTAAACTGCGCTTCGTCTGTGATTCAGGAAGTTGGGCTGATGTAAACACTGGTTCAGTATCCACTGAAAAAATTGAGCTCCTGGTAAAAAATCAGCTGGACCTATGTCGTGTAGTCGCGTTGGATGATACGGATAAAGTTGTTGGAAGTGCAGGATCCTCCAAACACTTGATTTTGATGTCCCCAATGTCCCCACAATCTTGGCAATGGCACGAGTGCTGGTGGATGGCTGTTTCTCTATGTAATGCAGTTCGACATTGAAGCGCCAAGTTTAAACGAAATGATTTTAAATGCCGCCCTAGCGCTACTATTTTACGTTTGCGGACATGGGCTCCTATTTCAAAGTTGTTCTATAGGGAACCCTCAGTACGCTCCTGATGTATGGCATCAAACTCCTGAGACATGCTGTATAGTGCGTGAACTACTGAAAGTGCAACAATTATTTTTATTTGCGAGTTGTGAAAGTCCAGTAAATTCAAGTAACCAAATCAAACGCTTTACGGTATATTGAAATTATATATAAGTAGACACCAGAACTATTTGTAAGTAACGGTAATAAACGATTAAAATTGGATTCTGATTTTTGTGCATGTTTTTCAGCTTGTGTTGACGGTTCTGTACTACCTGAATAGTGAAGATTTGTTTAGGTTTTAAGGCTTCCTTTCCTTTATGTAACACGAAATAGTACGAGGATGTCGAAACCCTCTGAATGGCATTAGTGGCATGATTTTATATGATATAAGGAATTTTCGAATGAAATACTAAGAAGCTCAGATCTACCGCATGAAAAGAGAGCGCTAGTAGTACACGGAAATTTCTGATATCTGAGTGGGAGTTCTGTCTGTTAAGCTTACGATAGACGACATCTTTTCCTTTTGAAATGACAGCGTATGCTTCATTCCAAATGTGCGCTGGGTACATGCAAACAAACGAGAGGCACTGTACTAAGTAAAGAGTATAATTCACAACGTATCGTTATTCTGCAGTACCCACTATGTCCTAACTTAAGGTTTTTAAGCTGAAAAGAGACAAGGTCGGTACAGTGTGAAAAGTACTTCCCCATCTATAAGTTAGTTAGAAACGAATATCCTGTCGTCTGTCACCCATAAACAACAAAAAAAACTCCATGGTTTTAGTCCCCAAGCTAACTATACCGACCGAGCGACCGCCGCTTGTCAGCGAAGTTAGTTCCAATTTTAGCGGATAGAGGGTGTCGCGTGGTCAGCGTAACGGATCCCCACGGCCGTTAATTTTGGGTTTCTAGACTGGAGCCGCCATTTCTTTGAAATAGCTCCTCAGTTATCCTCACGAGGCTAAGTGGATCCGGTTACAGACCCACCACTTCTAAGAAAATCTGGTAGCGCCGGGAATCGAACCCAGGACCACTAGGAAGATTAAGACGTAGTTGGGTGGATAATATTAAAGTGAAGGTTAGAAAAATTGGATAGGGTGATATAGACCGGATCGATGTGGTTCAGGATAGGGACCAGTAGAGAGATCTTATTAACAAGATAATGAACCTTCGGGTTCCATAAATGTTTGGGAAATTCTTGAATAGCTGCACAATTGGCGGCTTCTGAAGGAGGGCTCAGCTCCATGAAGTTAGTTTAGTTAATATTAGAGTCAATTTTACCGACCACACAACATATTTTTATTATTATTATTACACTACATGTTTCGACCTCAAGAGGTCATCCTCAGGTGTACGAACACAACTGTATAATTACACGCAATGATATTTGTCTTTTCACTTATTCGATCCTGTATCTTATTCAGGCCCACGCTCAATAATATATCAAGTTCCTCTCACAAAACACAAGTTAAAATATTACTCTAAATGTCACAAGTTAAAATTTAAAATTTGCGAATCGAATTTCAATTCAGATCACTAGTGTGCTTTCACTTTCACTTATGAAAGTGAAAGTGAAAGCACACTAGTGATCTAGCAACAAGCCATTATTTCTGAAAAATCCTGTAAATATGTCGCTTTCTATTCTGAAAATTACTACTGTGAAGACTAGAGTCTTCTAAGATGCGATGCAGTTAATTATGGATAATAAGGATCAAGAATTCAGAGAAATCTCCTGCCTCAATCTTCAAGGTAGAAGAAGAAGACATAATGATGCTCCACAACCTTTGTACCGAACTACAGTGTATCACTTCCCAGAAGACCATAACCTATATATTTATTGCCGTGAGAATTTCATTTAACATTATTATGCTTTGTTTGAAGACATTCGCTTGTTAATTCGATCTGTCTCCTTTCTAGCGCTAAGCGAGAAGGTGTTTTGGAATTGGCGTAAGTTATTTACTACATACAATTCAAAGGATAAATGTGTTTTACATATAGTTATATTTCGGCTTGGCCGCGCCATAGCTCAAGCGGTTAGTCGCTGGCTTCCCACGGCGGCGGCCCGGGTTCGAGCCCGCGTCTGGTCAAGTGGGATTTGTGGTGGACAAAGTGGCGCTGGGGCGAATTTTCTCCGAGTACTTCGGTTTCCCCTGCCAATTTTCATTCCACCAAATTCTCCATCATGATCACCCGGGGCAGGCTACAACAGGCCAATCAGTGGCTGCGGCGCAGAGTGGACCTAGTTGGACTCCACCCCCCACTAAGCGAATTAAAAAAAAATAATATCTCGGCTTTTATTGTAAAAAATATGTGTTGTGATTTGCCTATACGGCTATAGTTTCAGACAATTAGATTCTAATTAAAATTCGTAGAAGGCATGACACACATTTCCCCACATGTGAAATTCTGGTAATACATTTCTAATTGGAAAGCACAATAGATCACTGTAGGTCGTGGTGCAAGGGCCGAAAAGGCCCATCCATTATACAATCATACTTCTAATTTCTGACTGTCTGATGATTCATTGCTCCTTGGGTACGATCCATCCAAAAGGATGGCTACTTTTATAAAGATAAAATAGGTAACAGGTAAAGTTATCCCTGTGCTTAATCAAGTTCCACACAATTAACACGTTCAGGAAGTGGAGATATAACTCCACATATACTTAACCTAGGCGCGATATGTAGGTGAGTTGTCAGCATCACGCTCTGGCCACATCACCCACCAGCGAAAGGACCACCGATATCCATTGGATAGAAGGTTTGTTAAGCCCCAGCCCGTTTGATCACGATGGAGAAGGGAAAAAATCCCTATAATTTACCAGGAACCGAATCTGGATTCCTCGGTTTTCCAGAGTGACACTCCTACTTACACAAAATATGTTACATCACAAACTCATATAGGCCTTTAGATAGAAATGTAATCATGCGCGTTCAGGACATGCTAACAAGCCCACAAAATAACAAGCGTAGTTATAAGGAACAGAATTCCAGAAGTCACAGAATGGAAAACGCATCTTATCAGAAGGTAAAATCCAACAGCAATGGGAATCACTGAGGATTACACACAATTCAACCAAAGAAAAAAAAAACATTATCAGCAGGAAATTCTTTCACATTGGTCAGGTTCCTGTATCAATTTCTTATTAAAGTTGTAGGCTTATTCACATATTGTAATTATCAAGAACTGTTTAAGTCTATATAAGCATTTCCCATGTTGCTGTAATTTACTTGAGCTATACGCAAATTATTTCTATTAGACGATATCGAAAAAATTATCTTCTTAATATTGTGATTCTCTTAATTGTGACATGCAGTTTTTCAGAGGAATCATGCTGCCTCCATCATCAGGGTTGGAGTACGTAACATTTGCAATCTCTTGCGTTATGTGGGTGGTAAGATGGTAATTCAAATCCATGGGAGGGGGGGAGAAGGGGGGAGGAAATAGAAACCGGTCAGGACCAATAGATACGGTAGAGAAGAAAACGGCCCTGAAGATGGTCGCAGCACGTTTCTTTGTTTCTTATTTGTTAAAACTGACACTCAGTAGCTCAGGTCATATAGTGCTGAATGAGTAGACCATTGTGAATAATGAATTAGAAAGGATATGAAAGCATGCTCTCATGGTCTAGAGGGAGGCATTATCCTAGTATTTGCACAAAGACTGAGAAAACCTCGACAAACGTCAGTTAGGATAGTAAGTGCCCTAGCTGATATTAGAGCAATATGAATAACCTCAAATTTTTGCCTTGTTACCTTCTGTTACGTCTCTCATTAGATACATTATTTTGTGAATTCATATCTTTGCAGGCAGAACATTTCCCGTTCCGATGAATCTGCAATTCAGGAAATGAACTGGTATAATGTAGCAAACAAATACATTCTGGATAAACTGTCAGAAATAATTCGAGAAACGTCAGTGAGCGGAGTGTGGAGGTAAGAGAATTATTAACTTTAATCTCTTCCCACACTTTGATTTCTTCAATGTTCAGATTGTTTCAAGAAATTAGAAACAGTGTCAGTTTGACAGTAGAGACAAATCACTTCGTCACCTGAAGCTCAAAAATGTTTGGGGCTGCATTTGATGCAATGCCCCTTTTTTATTTTCCTTTAAATGCAAGTAAGTTTTGCAATTTCGAAACTTCTACAGTAAATTTCGCATTAATATGCATACTCAATTTCTCCACAAGGGTGTGAATTATGATACGTTCTCGGTATTCCTAATACAAACTCTGTGGCCTGTATTCCACAAGCGAACTATACCGACCAAGCGCCTACCGCTTGTCGGCGAAGTTAGTGCCAACTTTTCCTGATTGAGGATGTCACGTGGTCAGCGCAACCGATCCCCATGGCCGTTAATTTCGGTTTTCTAGACCGGAGCCGCCAGTTCCTTCAAATAACTCCTCAGTTATCGTCACGAGGCTGAGTGGATACCGTTCCAGATCCAGTACTTCTCAGAAAATGTAGTAGCACCGGGAATCGAACCCGGACCTCTGGATCTGTAGCCAGGAATTCTGACCACTAGACCACAAAGTCGGTCGTTCATTTACATACATAATTTTAACTTTTACATTATGTAATCTGTGAAATAAACTGTTGATAATGATCAAAGAATATAGCCAAACAAGTGTACGTTTCCACATAACTTAAGAAACCATAAATTCCTTACTTAGTTTTAGTTAGAATATGATTGGTTGCCGTAGAAAGAATTTGTTGGATTTGTCACACGTAATTCCCTTCTTTATGTTCTGTTTGCAGGTTGCTAATAGCATACAAGAATATAATATGTGCTGTGGAGAACTTCAGTATTGCAACTGTATATGGTCTCTACTATTTTGGAAGAGGGAATCTTGGAACTGAAAGTTTTTCCATGTTTGTGCGCTACGATTCTCTTGCCCAGAATTACTTCACGGCCACTCAGCACTTCTCGCTCGTCATATATGAAGAATACCAACGCTTTCAACTCACCTTCCCACCGTTTGAAAACATGACATTAAGGTATTTAACAAGAAGGCACCAAAAGAATGAATTCCTTCCAAAGCCGTCATGCTTCAATAGGTTCTTCTTCAATCTGTAAAATAATTTTTCCTTTCCGTATGTACCTTATGTGTTCAGTTCAAATTTTATTCCATAATTATAAGTTGTAGCCATCCAATTTCCTCTCTGTTTAATGATGTTACGTAAAAGACAGTGGGAAACATCATCTGATAGGTTTTGATATTCTTGGATGTGAGGCCGTGTACTCCGAGACATAGGTACAGGTACGAACATTTCAGAAGATCTACACCCTTCAGACCAACACAATCTCAACATTCCCCGCCATGGTAAGGTAAAGTTGTCCCTGTGCTTAACTACGAGTAATTAAGCACTACGCCTTGAAAACGTGTGTGGGAGTGGATGTATAGATCCACATTTTCTTGACCTCGGCACTACTTGGAGGTGAGTGGTCAACTTCACGCCCCGGTCGCTTTATCCCCCGGGAAAGAGCCCACGGTGCTCATTGTATAGGAGGTTGGGTAAACCCAAGAGCTCGTCTGGACGACCTATCATCTGGGGCTGGTACAGTAGGTCAGAAGTGGCCACAGTACAAGGGACTTACTCCCACCCTACTAGCAATAATAAAAATTAACCTTCTACTCTCAATCTTCCCACCTCCATTCCTTCGTTTCCTTTCGGTCATGTCCCGTTCACACGCCCTGGGAAAATCATGCTTACCGATTAGACAGATTGCGATCTCTAAACCTATTGCTAGTGGGGTGGGACTAAGTCCCTTGTACTGCGGCCATTTCTGGCCTATTGTACCAGCCCCAGATGATAGGTGAGGTTGATTGTGGATTAATTTGGTGGAATGAAGATTGGCAGGAGAAACCGAAGTACTCGGAGAAAACCTGCCCCAGCGCCACTTTGTCCACCACAAATTCCATTTGACCAGACCCAGGATCGAACCCGGACCGCCGCGGTGGGAAGCTAGCGACTAACGGCTTGAGCTATGGCGCGGCCATCTCTAAACCTAAATCCCATTCCTAATAGTTAATAACTTTCTTAAAAAACTCATCTTAAAATTCCAGAAAAGCGAAACGGTAAGCCCTCTTAAACATCATCTTTCTGCTGAACATTTTCCCGACGATGAAGCTGTAGAAAGGGAAGTCACCGCCTGGTTCCGACAGCAGCCCAAAGAATTCTATGCTGCTGGTTTTCAGGGGCTTGTAAAACGATGGGACAAGTGCCTCAATGTACAGGGAGATTATGTTGAGAAATAAAAGCATTTTTCAAATCGGTACTCTTATTTGTTTGTTCTATATCCATTTGTATCTTACTTATTGACTTAGCCTCATATCGTAGCGTCATAGTGAAGTAGCCCTACTGCCAAAAAATATGAATTGCATGTGTATGAATTTTTATACTGCGTCAGAAAAATTTGGGGAAAGTTATCCAGTCTTTAATTCAAGCTCATTCCATTATTTTCCAACTGCCTGTAGTTTTCCTGGCACTGTTAATTAGTAAGGGTTTAGATCCAAATTAATTGCACATATACATTTCTAGAAAATCCCATGCATAGCTGTTTCTTTTTAATTTGCTTGTTTTAACTGGCAGTTAACATTGTCTTCTGTAATCAACAATAAACATTTCTCTGTATTTGCTTTTGTGTCTTTATACTATTTCGTTCGTATTTATTCCCTTGAGTTTCATGCCTTAACAATTAAAGTGAATCAAGTAATCAATCATTTTACCTTTCCGGCAATTCAGACAACTGGAAATATATACCAATCGGCCAAGAAGCCCTGACTTTCATATTGCTGATGAATATTATTCAACAATGTCACTCTTTCTTGTGGAACTGAAAAGATATCAACAGAAGATTCACTACTTGATAAGGTAAAGTACAACAGGCTCATGGAAGACTATTTGGTTTTCTAACACCTTTGCGAAAAATATAAGTATATTTAAATTATTTTTATATAATCCCTTATGTGTGTAATTATCAGAAATGGTAGTACTTCCTAGATCACAGTTTCATGGGTGGACCTATAAGGTTGTTTTTTTTTTTGTGAGGGTGTATTATATAACTACAATTTTATTTTCTTCCACATTACTGTGAATGTTGTTATATTTTAGTAAATGTAGCAGTAGTTACATATTTATAACATGACAAATGTAAGTAACCAATTACAATTACACAAAATAATCTCACTTTAAAATATTCTATAAAATAAAATAATACATTATACAAATAAATAGGCTATTAAGCAGTGTGACTTTGTTATTAACTTAGATTTTTTTAATTCTGCAATTCCCTGTGGTGATATTCTAAGTATTTTCAACAAACTAATAACATCCCTTTTACAACAACTAAATCACTCTAAATCATGAACATAAAAATTTATGATACATACAGCAGACACAACATCAATTTGGCTTAAGAAACTATTTCCACATACAGAGAGTTAAAAAGGCCCCTTGCATCACAACTCCATAACATGTAAAGCACTTGGTGACTATGATCTGGCATGTAGGTAAGTAAGCCATTTTTTATCTGATTTATCCACGATTAAATCACCTCCAAAATCCACTGGATAGTAAATGAAATGAAATCCAGAAGTGTTTACTGAGAACTGAACTCTGATAGTCCAGAACATAGCCCATCTCATTTACTGTCTGAGTTTATTGTTCCACATAACTGTACTTGCACGATTGTTTGTTTATAATATTTATAATATTAATTAAAAGCATTAGATAAAACATCTATGGCTGTCTCTTTGTTTAATGATTTGCTTGTTCGGTAAAATATTTTTATTCTAGAGAGAAGATGTACCAGAATATTAATGATGCAAGATATCAGCAATGTGTTGCCATAATAATTTTGGTGATGGTACTATCTATCTCTCCACTCATCATAATCTTAGTGATAAATGCCACCAAGACTATCCAGGTAAGATAGTAGTGTACCCAGTGTCACAAGGTATTTATTATCATTCATCCAGATTTCATTCACAGATACGGTGTAATTTCAGTTAAAGTTATGCATTCATATACATGTATGCCTGAAATATTTTGGGGCAATTTGCAACGAAATGCAATTAACTGCAGAATTGTTATGCTGTATACTTTTCATAACTTATTTTCTCGTTATATTCATTTGTACAGGAACATTTATAGTTCAAATATTCTTTAAAAATGCATATTTGTGTGTATCCTTCACAGTAAAATGTGATACATCACAAGACCCTACATAATTCAGTAGTTGAAATTAGTGTTCATTAAAAGATACAATTGAAGATCACACAAGAGAGAAAAAAATAATCTTCAAAGACAGCTTTGTTGTATATATTTGATCGGCTTCTAAGTTAGAAAGTCAGAACCCTGTTATGTCACATAATCATAAAGAGATTAAAGTATATACATAAAAAATTGTTGCTGGCAGATACGAAACACCATAAGTTACTATGGCATATAATTCTGTTATTACTGAATCAACAGATTCTTAAGACTCCAAAAACTAAAATTTCCTGTCCTAAAGATGGACACTTTTATGCCTTGGTTTATGTGGAGTGTTTCTTGTTGGAATTATTTTAGGACAGTGTTATCACTGACTTTGGCTAAAACTGATCTTTCTTAAAAACGTCATTTACTCTGGATTTTCGATCTCATAATTAAGTAAAATTTTCATAGACTGATATATTAAAATTTTTATAATGAAACTGATATAGTCAGCACATTCATTCTTCCCATCTGGTAGTTCAATCACATATTCTTTTCTTTTTTCTATACAGACATTTGCAGGGACACTGATTACTCGCAGCTTAGAGCTAAAACATGAGAAGAGGAAGAGTGACCAACTCCTGTTCCAGATGTTACCACCACCAGTTGTCAGGCAACTCAAGCAGCACGGGCAGGTAAACCACATAAGACATGGATATATCTTTTACCGTATCTCACCAAATTCTTTTAAGGGTAGGATAATACTTTGTTGGATTTTAGGCTCTCACAGTGACTTTAAAAGTGCTATATTCTGATATATGATGATATACGATCTGCTTGCTGCCTGCTTCTTCCTGATTTATTACTTGGCTTACTCTTTGATCCTGAAGATGGAGATGGTACGTTCCACTGACATGCTGGTGAACTTAACCAGACTACATGAAATTACTTCAGGATGAATCCTGCACTTCCAGAATTTAAACCTATGCCAAGCTTAAGATATTTTTTGTTACCCCTGATTAAATTTAAATCTGGATACAACATGATCCACTAATACAAATTTAATATTTGAGAATACTGAAACAATGCTCAGAAAAAAATTAACCATTAAAGTACAAATTTGCATTAATGAGAAAATAACCTTCAGAGTCATGTTCAAATTTTTCATCGTGTATGTTCATGATTCTTTACAGATTAACATGTACTTTCAAGATTAGATGTGTATGCAACAGGCACAAAAGGCTAAAACACGTGTTTCCTGAGGTGAAAGAATACTTATACACTTTTGGAATTTAGGTGTGACATATTATTTTTATACAGCACTGGAAACATTTCCAGGACTTCTGGATGAAAATGCAAGGTGGTTCAAATATGACCGGGACTGATTTTCTTTAAAAACCATGATTGCCAAACTTGCACATGTCAGTCTTCAACGTACTCCCTTCTGGAGTCAACACATTTTTTCCAACGTTCTGGAAGCATCCTGATGCCCTATTCAAAAAAGGCTTGTGGTTGGCCACTCCCAAACATTCTGGATGATGGCGTTGTTGTTCACAAACCGCATGCTTTGCAAGTCTGATTTGAGCCTTCCTAACAGGTACAAATCACTTGGGGCCAAATCGGGACTGTACGGCGGATGTGTCAGAAGGTTCCATTTCAATTTCCGGAGGGTTTCCATTGTTGTTTTGGCCATATGGGGGCATGCATTGTCTTGAAGGAAGGCTACCCGCTTTCCACGTGTCTTCTGCTTGGATCTGAACTTTTCCTTCATGTCTGTTGCCAGGAGGTCTGAGTAATAAGCTGCATTGACTGTTTTGGCATCTGTCAGAAAGTCTATATGGATAACCACCTGCCAGTCCCAAAAGAACGTTGCCATCACTTCTCTTGCCGAACGGCTCCTTCTTCCTCTCTTGGGTTTGGGAGAACTGGTATGCCGCCACTCGCATGATGACTGCTGGGACTCGGGAATGAAGTAGTGCACCCACATTTCATCAGTGGTCACTATAGACTTCAAAAATGCATCACCTTCGTCTTCAAACTGCTGTAGGAGATGACTGGCAGATTGCATGCGCACCATTTTGTTCACATCCGTCAAAGTGCATGGTACCTATCGTGCATTCACCTTGCGATAGTGCAGGTGGTATTTCACGATGTCTTCTACACTACCAACACTGATGGACAGCATTGCTCCACGTTCCTTGATAGTGATGCTCCTATTCTCATGAATAAGCATGTCTGCACGATCAATGTTTGGCTCGGTGATGGATGTTTGCAGCCGACGATCATGCGGTTTCTCCACACGCTCTCTGCCTCTCAGACGCACTTACACCACTCAAACACACGGGTCCATGAGAGACACTCTTCCCCACTCTTCTGTTGGAGTTTGTGGTGAACTTCAGCGGACAGGACATTTTCTCCAACGAGGAATTTCATTACAATGCGTTGTTTCATGCTCCGCAGTACCTTCTGTTCACTCATCATTCTAGCAACTCCCAGACAGGACTGAACAGGTTCTAACCTGAACAGGAGGGAGGGTGGAGGTTGTGGCTTCACTCTCTCAAGGTCGCACAGCTGCTGCGCAGTGCGGCTTGTTTACACACAAATCAGTCCCGGTCATATTTGAACCACCTTGTAATAACGATACTTTCACATTGCACAGACTTCAATCCCACAAATTTTATGCTGTTGAAGTTTCATTTTGGTAATGTAAAAGAATAATAAAATGCTAAAATATATTTAGCTGATCAAATAATGTTCTGAACTTGTGCATATATGGTCATAGGATTTAATGCTACTTGAATCAACATCTTTTCATGTCTCGCAACTGTAAATATGTTATAGACATTAAGTGGTGCCGTTATCATTGCCAGTTCACAAGTTCACATATCTTCCTATATGTTGTACAAATGGAAATGGAAATATATTTAACAGTATGGGATTAGGGATGTTCTCTTGGGAAGCAAAGCGCCAACCTTCTTGTGAAGTTAGAAGAATAAAAAAAGCAGTGGTGGAGTTGCCTCTAGTGGCAATAAATTAATTTTATATTTCTTGAGAATCGGTTAGTTCAAAATTTGGAAGTGGGGGCACAGGCAGTTTGATGATCTTATAATTCTACTTTCCTTCCCTCAGTAAAGGAAAATAGGCCAATAACTGCTAATGCTGAGGAGAATTAAAGAGGTTTGTGTGTTTTAGTTCTAAGCTCGTTTATATGCCACACTTATAAGGGTTTACTTGATGATATTTCATTATTCAGACATCACTTCTGCAACTGTAAATGAGTGGTCAGGTCTACGCTGTGTTGCAATTAAGGTTTAAATATTCATGTTTCTCCATATCCTAAATTTTAAAGTAAAAAAGAGAAAACATTTGAATATACTGTCTTTAGACTCACAAGTACATATAGATTGTTCCTAAAAATGTACACATACTTTGTAAATAATAGAGATACATAGTAGTCGGTAACAGTGATGGTTACTAATGCAGCTAAATGTCATTAGAATATTATCTCTTCCATATATCTCTTGACTTACCACTCATTAACATTTTCCCATCTTATGTAGGTATACGTAATCACTAAACTGTTATTAAAGACTACTGTTGGGCGGGAAATGTCCTGAATTTGGCTCAGAGGTCCCCTTGAGACATGAGGTTCTTTTATGTGCCGTAAAGCTATGACACGGGACCCACGGCTTAAAGTTCCTCCCAGAGGACTTGTCCCCTGAATTTTTCCGCCCTTAAAAATTCCACGACCTCCGCCGGATTTGAACCCATGTACCTTGAGTCACGAGGTGGGAACGTTACCCCTAGACTACGGAGGCCACTGAACGTGAAGTTCAAGTTGGTCAGGAAGCTTTATTAACTCCTTGAGAAATTACTCTGTGACCTAAGAATATAACTTCATGGACCTTGTATCCCAAGGGTAATTTTGAATAAGATATACAAAGTATAGTATATACCGCCTACACAACAACAATCAGTATTCAAAGAAAAGAAGACACTACTGCGTCAACATTTGCTTTTATTTTGTTTATTAGAGATGCAACATGTTTCGACCCTTTCACAGGTCATCATCAGGCGTACAATGCACCAGTCTGAGCTGTTGAGTTGCAATCACTTGTCATTTTATTCAATGAATAAGGATACTTGTTGTGTCTTGAAATTAAATTCAAATGTAAATTTTGAATTATTTCTTGTGTTTCTATTCTTCCTTTTCCCACACACACACTAAAATGAAAGGGCCTGTATTTATTTCTTGTCTGTAAAAAGAATTTGAGTTGGAATACTACTAAATTTAAAAAGAATTATCTCCCTTACACCATATATGAGTCACATTTCCTATTGCTACTAACAAGTGAAAAGCACAATAGATCACTGTAGGTTGTGGTGCAAGGGCCGAGAAGGCCCACCCCTTATACATTCATACTAACAAGTGAATCCAGGAAGCCCATAATACCGTTAAGTTAAGATATTTTATTTTCCTATTTTAATATTTTACTAGTTAAAATATATTTTACTCTTCTAATTTTGTCCTTTGCTTTGATCAGTAAAATTGTAACAGCTGATCACATGCATCCATAGTTTATGACTCCAGAGCTCTGAAATTTTCAACATGCATTAGTGTATATTTTGTGAAGAGTGGCACTAGTTCACTTTAATTAAAACTCTTAATTTTCATTGGAATTACATGTAACAGATATTAACTAAAATTAAACTTAGCTAAAATACATTCTGAATAGCTGCTAGATGGTGTAAGTAGGTAAAGTGTATAAAAATAATCCTTATATGTAAACCTAGTATTATCATATTGGTAATGTTTTTATTAATATTATTTTTTTAAGGTTCCAGCTGAGAGTTTCGAATCTGTGACCATTTACTTCAGTGACATTGTTGGTTTCACTCAACTGTCAGCTGTAAGCTCACCCATGCAGATTGTTACTATGCTTAACACTCTGTATCGTCTATTTGATTTTATTATCCAGAAATATGATGTATACAAAGTAGAAACTATTGGGGATGCATACATGGTTGTATCAGGCCTTCCACAAAGAAATGGTAAGTCTTTGAAGAAAAATAGACAAAATTAACTCATATTAGGCAAGTGAGAAGTCAATTACCACTAATTGTTCCTATTAGTGTTTTCTGCTTGCAAACATTGCTCCCATATAATCCTGGGGTTCAAACTCAGCCAGGGGCATGGATGTTAATTTGTGATGCCATTTCTCATCATCATTCATTTCATGAGATAATTTTGCAAATATCTTCAAATATTTTAATACAACCTTTGATAGAGCTTAGGACTTTCTTATATCTGAGGCAGCACCACTATACACGGCATATGTTTAGAATAAAATAAAAAATGTGCAGTTATGGTATACAATTTGAAATAATTTCCCCGTTTAGAGTTCCATTGAAATTTCATCACTTTCATTGTCGAATAATCACAATTTCTTCATAATGACTGCAGGTATTCCTCAATTTATGCAATACTCGTGTTCCATAGAGTCACATATGGTGAAATCACATAAATCAAACAAACTTTTTCTTTCTCCCTTCACATTCGTCTTCCACAAACCCACACAATGGTCTACCACCTATTTTCCTAGTCTCTTTCGAATGATCAGCAAGCAAACTTAATTGAAGTCAGTCTAAATTTGATTGGTATTTGCATTAAAACAAAACAGCAGTTTTTGAACTTGCATATAATATATGACAGGCACAATCTGTTTTGCAAAGCCTGGCCTGACAGAGGACCTGTATGTAGTGCAAAAGTGAGAACTTTCAGTAACATGATATACATAATATATATGATATGTACACTTGACTAAATGCCAAGCACATTCAGAAAGGACAAACCCATTTTCCATCAGGCAGGATATTACATAAGGACTATGGCTGCAAGAGTTCACTTGAAAGAACATCTCTGGTTGTGAGCCTCTAGGGGCTTGGTGCCAAGATGAAATGATTGGTGCTGAACCGCCAGTCATAAAGCAACTTTGACTTTGATTCTGAGTCTGACTCTGACTCTGACTTTGACTCTGACTTTGACTGAGTTTATTTCAGTTGTGGGATATTTTCCAGGCAGTAAGGACATAAGAAGAGGACACTGTCAGAAACTGTTATCAAGAAAGGACTAGTAAAGACGTAGAAGACTATGTGTGCTGCAGTTACAGTGATCTTTACTGTAAACCAGCGAGGCTGTTATAGTTACTTGTGATTATGAGATGTGTGTATAAATGATAAATAAATCGGTCACCAATCCAAACCCCATTTGTAGTCACTCATATAGATTACACTACAGGACGGCACCAGCTTTTATGCCATACATTCCCCTGAACCTCTCCCAGGACTCGAACATTGCACTGAAGGATAAAGTTGAAAATACTACTCCTGAAGTTCACTTGGCTTTTTTACCTTGGCAATCAAAGTACCAAGATTCAGAGTTTCAATACACTTTCAAAATAATTATTTAAATTAATGAAGAGAACGGTTTTAATATATCCTAATTAGTAATAATATTATTCTGGAACATTTCTACAAGTTAAAGAGAACATTCATAGTAGAAATTAATTACCTATACTCGGGTGTCTGCACAGCAGATAACTGTTAGTTGTGTTGCAAAAGCAGCAAAAGCGCCCCTCCCCCAACATTTCTCATCTATTCTTAAGTAATTTAAACCACAGTTTTGACAATTCAGGATTATTATGCTTTACAGACAACCGTCACTCTGGCGAAATTGCCACAATGTCCCTCGATCTCCTCCATGGTGTTCATCATTTTGTGATTCCTCACCAACCTGCTGAGAAGCTGCAGATTCGTATAGGTATAAACACAGGACCCTGTGTTGCTGGTGTTGTTGGTACAACAATGCCACGTTACTGTCTCTTTGGTGATACAATAAACACTGCATCTCGCATGGAGTCAACTGGAGAAGGTAAGATTCATCCATTAGCTCCCCTGTTATGATACATTCATCTGTAGTAACTCATTTTACCTATTCCTAAATTTTTATTCAACTCCTTGAAGACTAGGTGTGTTGTTAGCCCCTTTCCCTGAACATCCATATTGTCATGTGCAGGATGGTACTTGTGATGAATTTAAAAGGTTCTATTTCAGATGATTGGATTTGTGGGAACATCCCACATACTAACGCACAGTTTCGCCAATCTAACAGACAGCACTCGCTCCTAGTCAATATCACATTGCTACCAGCACTCATATTTATACAGCACCCGCTGTCCAGCCCACATTTAGATCATCACGTGCGCTAGCCAATCAGCACTCACAATCGCAACTGCAAGTTTAAGCTCCGTCCAGCAAGCATGGTATAAAAGCAGAGCCCAAAGCTTACAGTCATCAGTGATCACATTCAGTCATCAGGGTCATCAGCTCTTCACTGCTACCAGACTTCTAACGTAGCTGACGCAGCTCTCCAGCAACCTCACTCTGCTACTAGTCAGTTAACATAGCTGCCACAAACCTCCAGCAATGACGCGGTAGGCAGCTGTTCCTGCAGGCGCATGCAGCACCACATTACTGGCCGGACAAACCAAATGAATGGCCATAAAGATTTGGCCTACTACGAAGGACCAAATTCTACCAGTGAACTCACGGTGGAACAAACTGCCCTTTTCAGGGTCAGCCAACTTTTGACATTCCACATAGCTTTGCAGCTATTCTGTACATTCAATTTATACAATTTAATATATACAACTGTTACAGATTTAAGTGGTTGTCTTTTAGAACATTGACAATCCCACAGATTTATTAGCAGCTGGGTTACAAGTTCTCTTAGTCACTTAATACAGTGGTATTACTGATATAAACACTTTTCAGTTCACCGTTGCCCCCACACACTATGATTCTCCATCTTCACTTCTTTAACACATATTTGTTTCCAGTACCTGCTATTAAGAATACCTGTTCATGAGAAAGAAAAATTGTACTCATCAGCACATAGGTTGTTTCATTTTTGTCAGAGACATATCAATTTATAAAAGAATTACAGCTAATTTAGAAGTGAAGTATATCAGAAAACAGGCCGCGCCATAGCTCAAGCGATTAGTCGCTGGCTTCCCACCGCAGCGGCCTGGGTTCGATCCCGGGTCTGGTCATGTGGGATTTGTGGTGGACAAAGAGGCGCTGGGGCAGGTTTTCTCTGAGTACTTCGGTTTCCCTTGCCAATCTTCATTCCACCAATTGCTCCACAATCACCCTCACATATCATCTGGGGCTGGTACAATAGGCCAGAAGTGGCTGCAGTACGAGGGACTTGGTCCCACCCCACTAGCAGTTAAAAAATTAATATCCAAAAACAAACATTCACATTATTTTGCAATGTTATTCTCTTTCCAGCCATGCACATCCATATATCACAGAAGACAAAAGATAGTTTGGACCTTGTGGGTGGTTATCATATGCAATGCAGAGGGCCAATGGAAGTGAAGGTATAAAATTTGTTTAAATATTTTAGCATCTCTTGCATCTTAATGATAGTAGTTACTATAGGATTCTGATGATGGTGTATAACTCACAGAGAGAGTGGGTTTTTGGACTTCATCCATCGTCCTGGTTTTAAGATAACTAAGAAAAACATGACGTTTCAGAAACTGGATCTGTTTCCGTCCTCAGGTGAGGGAAAACACCTATTCTGTTGGGTCCCTTAAAAAGAGCTAGCCTCAATCACTGGAAACAGATCCAGTTTCCAAAACGTCATGTTTTTCTTAGTTATCTTAAAACCAGGACGATGGATAAAGTCCGAAAACCCAATATCTCTGTGTCTTAACGATAGTGTTTCATGTCTGTTCCTGATTATGAAGAACTTTTGGGGGGAAAATGGCAAAATCACCATTTCCTGCCATGAATAACATCATGGTAGAATGTATACTATATACTTAAGAGGAACAGAGAGAAATACTATTTACATCCTAATTATTCCTCAGTGTGGATAACTGCAGTCAGTTCCATGGTGAACAACAAATGATTATAGTTCCTAATGTGGTTCGAGAAATGAAAAATTGTTTGTATATGAACAAATCTGGTAACAGCAAATCAATGTATCAGAGAAGTAATATATATGTATATACTGCTGTGAATTACATATCAGTATATGGCTATCACAATACACTTTTCTACTCAATTATACCCTTCTCTACATTGATATTTTTAATGTTGTCCTTGACCAGGGAAAGGGTGTAATGAAAACCTACTGGCTTCTTGGCAAGGAAGGCAGTTTCTTGTCTTCATGTGAAGAAGACTTTCTCCATATACAGAAGACACAAGATTTCCTACAGATAATTAGTGGAACCCAGACGAAAGGAATATAATTTAGCATAATTTAATTATACAAATAAGGTACAACGTTTCAAGTAAGTTATCAACACATCATTCCACCAGGTCATGTCATATATCCAGGGCATTCTTCACAGTACATGCTCCAAAACATTTCCTTCTCATGGTGCATGGTGCTTAATGAACCAAATGGCAATATCTTTAAATATATGTATTTCATTAACTGGGACATGTGGTAGCATAGTTGGTTTAGGCAGTATGTTACAAGTTGGAAGGTCGTGGGTTCGATTTGCCATAAGGTCACTGGACTTTTCAATTGACCTAATCCTTCTAGCGAAGCTATGTCCCTGGGTTCAACTCAACCTGGCAGGAATGATTACAAGGATTCTTATTAGAGGTAAAGGGCAGCTGGCACATAAGGCTGACAACCTCACCGCCATCTGTGAGCCAATTATCTGGAAAATGTTGGAACCTCAACACCTCACAATCCTATGGGCCTCTACAGCCTATTACATGGATAACTTTACTTTCACCTTGCTTCTTTAACCATTCATAAACAAAACAATTTTTTTTACTGGCTCTAAAGCCCCCTTGGGCCCTGGCTTCTGATATTTCAGTGTCATAATCATTTTACAGACTGTAGGACTCCTTGAACGAGTGATCAGCTTGTTGCAAGGCCTCTATCTAAACACAGGACAACAAAAACACATAATAAACACATACACATACCAAACATCCATGCCTGGTGTGGGATTCAAACAAATGATCCCGGCTTCTGAGCGAGCAAAGACATTATATGGCTTACACAGCTTGGCTACAATGACTGGAAAAAACAAAACAACACCATACATTATTTCTATATATAAGCTACAGTAATAGATATGCTTATCTTCATAAAATACAACTACAGCTTCAGTGATAAAAAGAATACACACAGTTATCTTCAGCTATTTTACTTCACTAAGAATCAATTGAAACAAAATGGACCAGCTTTAACATTAATTACAAATTCCAAGGTATGTTACTGGACACTTCTATCTGTACTTAATGTTTTACATTTATGTGCCAGTTGAACAATACTAAATATGACTTAGTGACAGCGTCAGTCATACATCTAAATGTACATCTAAAAGTGCATCTCATTTGTATTCAGAAAAACTGTACTACAGTACCCTAAAAGTCTAAGTAAAAAATGTGTAAGATGTTCCAGTCTCATATTAAGGGAAGAACAGGGTGCTGAGGAGAACATTCGGACCTAAGACAGGGAAAGTACCAGGAAGCCGAAGAAAACTGCATAATGAGGAGATTCATAATTTGTATTCATCATCAGATATTACAATAATTATCATCATAATATATGGTGCATATGGGTAATAATAAAATTGTATACAGAGTTTTTGTAGGAAGACCTGAAAGAAAAAGACCACCTAGAAGACATAATCAGAGCTGGGAAAATAATATTAAAATGGAAACTAAAGTAATGGGATGGCAGTATGTGGACTGGATTCACCTGGCTTCCAAACTAGTGACAGGCTCTTGTGAATATGATAATTAGTCCTTTGGTTTCAAAAAATGCTGGGAATTTCTTGACAAGCTTAGCAACTATAGGCTTCTCAAGGAAGAGACAATTTCATTCAGTTGGTTACATAGTAAGTTAGTAGTTGGTAATTCTTGTAAGGTATTTTATCACCTGCATTTGCTATACAGACATACAACGTCATTACATGGTGCTTGATCAATTATGCACAGGGATAACTTTCCTTTTTTTGCCTTTTCTTTGTTGTACAGTACCTAATGATAAATTACATTGATGATTATGAATACTGGGTTTAGAAGCGTATAGAAAAAAGTAATATCACTCAGCATTTCCTGTATGAATTGAAGAAAATACAAAAATTCAGCCAGGTTTATCCAATCTCCTATCTAAGATACAAATAAGTGTTTTCCAAATACATAGCAAGAGCTCCAACCATTGCACTGAGATGCTTAGTCATATAAATGTGGTTTATTAGCTTATATGGGTGTAATTCATTACATTTTGCCAATTTGAAACCTAACTGTGTTGTAAATTACGGGCAGGGAGTCAGCCGTCACTTTGGCAGTGAGCAAGGACAAATCCACTTCTAAGGATTGCTGTTTTCTGGATTGTGATGCTCTTCACAGTTGCTACTGTGAGAGCTTCAAATCTCATAAATCCACTTCTATGTGATTTCATACTCAGACCAGTGTCAGTATTATGAATGGGAGATATCCTACTGCATGTAATACCTGAAAGAAATTAATTACGCATAACAATGCATACAATATTAATCCATTTACTGTCCTACTACTGAACCATGAACATGATACAGAATTACTTTTGAAAAATGATCAGGAACAACATTCATGTGAGATTTTTATGCTGGTGACTATGAAGAATACAGTCTTCTGGAATGTCATGTCATGTGGTCTACTAGTTTCCGAGGTGTTTACTGATATTTCAGAAGAACATCCTCCCTTTTTCCATAAAATATCTTTTATGGGCTTAATACCATTACCCTGTTCCCCTTGCTCCTATGCCTGCACTGAGGGCTCTGACCCCAGACATCCCTTTCCGTGTATCCATATAACTTTTTCCTCACTGCACCAATTCTTCTACCCTGTAGATAACTGCAGCATGCTTCTCTCAAATAACTGGAAACATTTACATGACTACACAGCATCACATCCAAGAAGATGGTATTTCGAACTGCATTAATCTGGCTATGTGTGCAGCTTGGTATTTTAACGGACATAAAACTTACATATGGATTGAAAATAACACTGCTACTAACACTAACCAACTTGCATAAATATTTAGATTATAGACAGTCATGGTTTAGCATTGTATTATCAAGTTTATGTTTACAGTTATGTAAAATATTGATATTTATGTGTGTATATGTATTTATTTATAAGTATGGCACCTACATTTCTTAACACTTATATAGCTTTTTGAAAGGAAAAAAAAATTTGATAATAGCTCAGTTGACACAGATACCTGCAAACAAAAAATGATTTTGGAGGTGGCAGGCCACACCTGAACTCAAAACTTGCTACTCAGACCCAGTCCAAGGAGCATACAGAGTTGAGGTCCCAAGCGAGATGAAACCACATCAAGGCTGCTGAACACACAGATAAAGTAATTATTGAGTACCAGCAGAAGGTAAAGGGAAAGGAGTTGAAAGCAAAATGCAAGGGAAAGAGGGAAGCAAACATGAAGTGGTACACCTAATTGAATACTTCCTCTCTTCTCTTGCTCCCAGGTAAATATAGAGTACTATCATTTGGTACTGTGTGATTACTCAGAATGAATGGTCTTGGTGGAGAGAAGTATCGTTTCGAATCTGATTTCTGTTTGTTTTGGCTTTCTCCCTTTACAGTTTAATTTTACAGTTTGTTTTAAACAGCCATAATTGGTTGAGTTTTGGACTTGGATCAGTTGGAAATGGAATACTCAGAGAATTTAATTTGTATTGAAACCACTGGATCTCATCTTTGTTAGAAGGAAAGAGAAGAAACAAAACCAGTCAAGGCAGTGATGTTGCATGGGATTCAATGGACTTGGGAGAGTGTAATTGTACTGTATTTATTAGCATTCATTGATCCATTCAGGTACATGACCATTGGATAATTAACTGTCAGCAGATTACATTGATATTTACATAAGATTGTCTTAACATAGAATAAATAACAATTAATATATATATATACGAAATATAATATAAAATATAATATAAAGTTATAATTACTGGGATAACTCAAGGTCACATTTATTATTCCTATCAAGATACTCTTCGACTGAATGAAAAGAATTTTCTATAAGAATCTTTCTCAATTTATGCTTCCATTTATTAATATCATGTGCAATTTGCTTGATATTGGGGGGTAGAGAGTTAAATAAGGTAATACCAGAATGATATACTCCTCTTTGAACTTTAGTTAGACTTACTAAAGGAACATGAAAGTCCAATTTTTGGCAGGGATTTATTTTATGCAAGTCGGTATTTATTGTGAAAAAATCCATATACTTTACAACAAACATAAGAGTTGAAAAGATATATTTGGCGTAAAGAGTTAAAATTCCAAGTTTACTAAACATTTCCCTACAGGAATCTCTTGCTTTGGCTTTCATGGTAATTCTTACAATTCGTTTCTGGGTTACAAAAATAGGTCTATTATGTGGTGAATTACCCCAAAACATGATACCATAATTTAACATTGAATGAACATACGAGAAGTAGATCTGTTTCAGGATTTTCAATTCTAATACAGGTCTGAGGGAACAAACCATGCAGCCTAATGAATTTAACTTTGAATTTATATAATCAATATGTTCTTTCCATGTTAATGAAGATTCTATTATAATACCTAAAAATTTAATGGAGTTAGTAGTTAATTTTATAAGTATTGAATTAAGTGGTATCCAAAGACCGATGACTAATATTTGGAAGGAACTGCATAAATTTAGTCTTATTACAATTTAATAGCATTCTATTTGAGTTAAACCATTTTTGTGTAATCTCCAGAAGTACTTTAACATCTTGGTCCATCTTCACTGAATCAGAATTTGATATTATAAAGGCAGTTTCATCTGCAAAGAGTATTGGTAAGGCTTTGCATTTTACTAATTTAGGTAGATCATCTATGTAAAATAAAAACAATAAGGGTGCAGGAATCGACCCTTGGGGCACTCCATTTTTAACTTATTCCCAGGCTGAAACATAATTTGAAGCACACAACGACTTAATTATTACTCTTTGATACCTATTACTTAAGTAAGATTTAATTAATTCACCAAATCTACCTACTGTGCCATAATACTCTAATTTAGTTATTAGGATCTCATGATTTACAGTATCAAAAGATTTAGTTAGGTCACAGAAAATTCCACTAACTGATGATTTATTATTAATTTCTGATAAAATTTGATTTGTTGGTTTAATTATAGACAATTCCGTTGAACTGAAATATATGATTTACTCTTAAATGAATAAATTAATTATTTGTCCCCTTGAGATGCTACTTGTTAAACCATTTATTTTATAAAGTTATAGACACAGTGGTTCTTCCAAAAGAAATAAATAAACAGACAATAATGGTAATATATCAACTAAAAAACAGGTAACAAAATTTGTCTGAGAGAAATTTCCCACTTTCTGCAGCTAATTTATAGTGCAGGGTGCTGAAAACTTTATAGTTAAGAGAATAAAACTTCAGTTCCTTCCATACAGACATTGAAAACTACCTGAAATGCAAACTGAGTTGTATGCAGAATCACTTTTGAGAAAATGAATAATTTGGTAGGGCATCAGATGAGCATTCATTTTGAGACTGTCTCAGATCTTCAAGACATGATATATAATCTCAGCATCAGAATTGACTTGTACGAGTATTTTACACATAGCATTCCATACACTGCTATGTTCAGTAGTTAATATGTGTAATACAAACTTGATATATGTTAATAGGAAACAAAATACTGTTATTTAATCACAACTAGCTATAAAACTGCCAAAATTTGTTTCTTGGGGAGAAGGGGTAATACACATAATGTTGTGTTATTTTAATTCTATTCAAATATTCTGTGAAGATTTTATCAGTATCCTATTTACTGTCTATATATCAAATTTGTAAATGTATAGGCAGAGGTTAGATATTGATACAGTTAATACTTGTTGCAAAAATAAAAATATTTTTAAGGGAAACAATGCTGTTCCCTTAAAAAGAACTCACATGCTAATTTGTAAATCATGTTCATTAAATAATTCTTTTTGTACAACAAACACCCACACACTAACATTCAGAATTTGCCAGATTTCTAGCTCCTACTCTGCTTCCAGCCCAGAAGTTCTTACAAATATTATATATCATATGTCTTCGGACTATCATCTGTCAGCAAAAGAAAATCTTAAGTACATATTAACGTATATTTAGCTGCAGACACATGAGAAAAGAATTCAAGCAACATGAATCACATTATCATCCATCAGAAATGTCCATCAATGTGTTATAATTAAAAATAGAAATCATTAATTGAGAAACAGAATACCTGTCAGAAATGTGTGCAGGAAAACATAAAAGGAAGCCTGGTGTTTATTTATATTGTCTTTGTTAAATGTAGTATAAGGCTTTTACTTCAACTGTGACTATAAGAGATAGTACCCTCTGTGTTCATCATGTGATATATTGTAGGAAAACTTTCTTCAGTATTACAAAAATAACCTCATAGTATCAAAATAAGTCTGCAAAATGAATACTGTAATTGACTTTTTTTTTTTTTGTGATTTGGCCACAGGCTACTTGTTATCAAGATGACCAGACCAGAAACTTGTAAACTATAAAATAAAAAAAATGACTGTAGAAATATGGTGCTTCTTTTTACTGTTTTGCATATATGTACTGGGTAGGTTCTAAGAGAGACTACAATAAATTTCTGGTTCAGTAATATACATACTATTTACACTGACAATTTGTTCTGCTGAGCGTTATTTAATCTAATGTAAATTTAATGCTGATTATATGAAAATGTGCTATAATGAATGGATTATGAATGTTTCACTACATGTTTATGATTTACTTAACAATACTGTAAGTAGTCTCCATCTAGTGCTGATGTAAAGAATGGTAGCACTAAACCTCTCCTCCCCATATGCCTTCATGGGACAGTGCTTAACTAATTAAGCACAGGAAAAATTTTACCTTTGTAAGTAGTACAGACTATGTAGCATCAAATGGTAAGATGATTACTGAATAATAAATGGTAAAGAATGTTGAAGGAAATGGCTGTAGCTAATTTTAGGTACTATTCTGGCACTTTTCCGGGACGGACTGAAGAAAAACATTAAACTCTTAAATCACTGTCAGTCTTCAGACCAAGATTTGAAGTTGGTACCTCCTGAATACAAAGCAGGAGAGCTACCCATTTGACCACAGTGTTTGATATCAAATTTATAACAATTACACTAAGAATATAATTCATTTCTTTCATCACACCCTGTCCTAGTGTTTATTTTCATTACTGTATGTTGTGTAAAACCAAACTCAGTACATATTGCATATGAAAATATTGTAACGCTTATCTTTTTTGAAATAGTTATATCTCATTGTCAGTAACAACATAAAATCTTGAAGTCAGCTTGATTATGTCCACTATTATTTCACTGTATACCATTGCACTGCCCTCTTATTGCATCTTGCACAGAACTCACTTGTGATTCTCCACACACACTATTCCCCATTTCCTCTGACACATGTCCATGCCAGCCATCCACACTCACTAACACTGAACTGCAGACTCTAACATCCCTTGCCTTGATATCGGGAGTTCAATGCATGTTACACTTCAAGAACCGTTGGGTCGTAACATTAAAGGGATGATTCTCCACTCTTAGAGAGGGACTGAGAGTTTCAAAGTTTTGAGAGTCAGATGTGTGGACTGGCCAAGTTATGCCGCCCCTTCCTACTCCTCTTTCAGTCCCACAACAATATGAAGAACTGATTATAACTTACAGAGATCTTTTCTGTGTGAGCCAACATCAGTAATATTGGCACATGTATGGGGGTGCACATGACAGAAATAAAGGGCTCTAGATGGATGACTGCATTTATTAGCACTTTGGTTACAGTCTCTCTTAATTACAATTAATATAGCACTATCGCTGATTTACACAATTTACAGTTCACCGTTGCATATACATTAGGATTCTCATTTTCCACTAGTCATCTCCTAGCAATGGATCTCAACACAGAAATTAGCACTTCAAATCACTATGAAGTTTTCTTGCTGTTTCTTCTTCAATCCTTCTGCCCTGCTCTGCCCTCCTATATCCTAATCTGTACTAAATTGCTCCTAGCTTCTACTTTGCTCCTCTAGCTTATGACTGCCCACAAACCTTTGTTTTCTCCTATAAACCTTTGATGAGGACTTACAGAAAACGCGTCACGTGGTCTCTATCCATTTTTGTGTGACATCACTGACTACAAGGAAGTGTATTTACATTGTATAATACTGATGTAAATTGTGATCTAGCAGCAAGTGATGTTATTAGTAGAAAAGAGGATGCAGTTTCACATTAGTTCATGCCATTCTCATGATTATGCTCAATGTTCTAGTGCAGATAGTATTTCAAAAGGAAGAAATAGATTAGTGCATATACTAATTTCTAGAAATGCTGATGCCCATTACATTTCTGTTATTTCCTCTATTTTCTACGATAAGTTATGTTGTGTACATGACCAAATCTGTTAAGTCATTTTTAGGTCTAAAGAAGTTGATATTAAGTTTCCTCAGTTAATGAAAGGAAGTATCAGCCAGATTAACAAGAAGGAAGAAATCTGAATGAAAAATATTAAATACCAAATATGAATAAAATCCAGCTAATTGTTCAGGTGCTAGCAAGGTACACACAAATACTTACAGATAGGATTAAAAAAAAACTTTCTCATATTTAGGAGTAAGGAAATGCATAAATTCATGAAATTCTTATAATTTCTTCACCATTATGTATAATGCTTTGTTAGGGGCACATAGTAGCATAGTTGATTGAGGCACTATGCTACAAGTCGAAAGGTCACGGGTTCGACTCTCAATGAGATGGATTCTTTCAACCTAACCTTTCCAGCCACATTATGGGCCTGGGGTTGACTCAGCCTCTAATAGAAATGAGTACCAGGAATCTTCCAGGAGGGGGGCGGCGGGTGCATAATGCTGACAATCTTACTGCCACCTGTGAGCTGACTGTCTAGATAAAATGTGGGAGCCTTGACGTCTCACAACCCAATGGGCCTTCATGGCCTGTTACAGGGATAGCTTTACCTTTTCTTTTATAGTGCTCTGTCACATGCAATACGTGTAACAGCAGAAACAAATTGTACATACCTTTAAGAAAATTACTTCACTATTTTGTTTTGGACATGTGCAATTATTCAGTAAAATACCAACTAACATTTTTCAACACAAAACTGTGCTTTATCACAATCCTTTGAGCAATTCTCTTTTGTGCCCTAGCTATCTACAACTCTGATTTCTATAGATCAGTACACAAAACACTATATAAAAATTAAAAAAAAAATTCACATTAATAATTACTTCTGTACTTATCAAGGAACTGTCTACAACAAAAAACAAAAATGTTTCCACAAGTAAAATACTAAGGCTTTTGACAGACCCTGTCAAGCAGCCAATTAACATGGCTGCTACTGTAACAGGATGCCCACTGAAAAACAACAATCTATGATCCAATTTTTGTGGTCAGTGTGTGTGAAAAAGTGACATTTATGGAAGACAGCAGCATGAGACAGAGGAGAGTGATGAAATGTGTGAAAAGATTCTAAAGATTGTGGACAATTATTGATGATGCCATGTTATTGTCAGCAATCATCTGTAACATGTGTTAAGGTTAAGGACCAAATTAATCTGCATATTTGTAAGAGACAATCTGAACTGATAAAACTATATACTATATATGTTACTTTTAGCTACGTATATAAGTTGCACCCTAGGTCAATAGTTTGACCAAAAAGGATGCATAAAATTGAATTAACTGAAATGAATCAGTCATGGGATGCAGCAGTGCAAGAGTGGTTTAGGGCCCAAACAAAACGTTTTATTCTGTTAAATCAGGAAACTTGCAGATTGCTGGACTACTTACTTTAAAAAGTAAGGCAATAACTTAGAAGAATAAAATATGTGTTTGTACTGTATGATTATTGTGTCAAAATTTATAAATAAAAACACCTTTCACAATTTATTTACCTTTGTAAGAAATTACATATTGTTACAAACACGTGGAAGGAAATGGTAATGGACTGCAATTTTGGTACATGCTGTGGAGAACACAGTTTTTTCCTTTGGAAAAAAAATACCCCATTATCAGACAAAAACATACATAGTATATAGACATTTAAAACCTCTGATACAAATAACTGATCTTCCAGATTTAACACGTAACCAATTTGCATGATATTGCATACATTGCTTCTTAAACAAGCAGGAAGTATATGAATGTAACAAAAGCTTATACTATTAACCAATAATTACTGAAACTGGGAGATCAGCATTTTTCAGTTTAATATACTTCTTGCTAAAGTTCACAAAACATGTTGCAATTATACCAGTATATAAAAATTTGGAAACTCTCACATATCATACAATATATTACTACTTAATCAAACTCTTTTCAAAATAGAAATGAGTAGTAGTACAATGAAATCAAATATGAATAGTTCTCAAGATGTATCAAAATAACACAAGTTTAGTACTGTATTCCAGCAGTAAAGAGGAAGATGTATAAGCATTCTATGTGTTCTTAAGAAAACATTTTCTATTTACAACTACACAGATTCTGGCAGTCAAAGAGCAGTAAATAAACATAACGTTTCACAGACTGCATTCTGTCTCCATCTACAGATGGAACTTATTCGGCTGGGCCCAATCAACAGAGCTACTCCCTCTCTCCATTGTGTTTTAAACAAAAACAAGACAGTATTTTAAATAAAAACAGAATGATGGACAATGTCCAGAAACACAAAAGTTATATTAATATACCATTGTCACAAACTTTTAGATCCTGTGAATAGAGACATGATGACCAAATGCTCACATTCCAAACTTTCAGAACTAAAAGTGTCTGCTAACAATGTTCCAGGTATTACAGACAATGTAAAAACAGTGACAAATAATTTATTAATTTATTATTAATTATGGAAAATACTACTTGTGCTTGGTCTTTTATACAGAAATTATGGGAGATAAGATTTTGTCTTATATCACTAACAGCAGAAATTATTCACTAAGGTTTTCTTTCTAATGCATAATGCTACTTTTCCTGCATTTTATTATTTATGTTGCAAGTTTTTCAATTTGAGCCTATGTTGTTTTAGACAGTCCATGCTACAAAACCTGTGGATATCATACTCAAATGGGACTTTGCCTGTAATGTCCACAGCACACTGGAAACACCTAGATACAATTGGTTTCACTTTACTGTCAACTGCCTGAGACAGAAGTCTTCTTTCAGCAGCAAGGGCCCTCTGTAAAAGCATAAACCAAACTTTAAAGCAAGAGAGTAAGTACCAATTTCACTGATTTTTAAGATTACAGTAGAGTCTCATAATACACATATTTAACTTACATGATTTTGACCATAGGAGCTCACTGAACAGGAATATTAAATAGCGTGGGCGATTCTATATACCATGATACTGAAGTCAGAATAAGTACAGAGCAAGCTCAAAACCCTGACTCTGCCTTAGATCCCACATGTCTCTCATAGTATGTACATCTCTCAGAGCTGAGTGTGATTCTAATGCGTTTAAATGTTGGTATTTTTTGTATTCCATGGCCCCCAAATGCAAGACAACTACTTCATCTGATGTTTTACCAACAAAACACTGATCTGTTCTAACACTACAGAAAAACTGGAGAGCAGTAAAAAAAAGGGGGGGGGAAGGATTCTGGGAAGAAACACAATATTAGAGACTTTTCATTAATCAACGAAGCAATTTGCTCAGATCCACACTGTTAATGTATATCTTCTAAAAAGGTACAGTAAAGTTTTCCCTGTACTAAATTAATGAAGCACTACAACATGGAGACATGTCAGGAGTGGACCTACAGCTCCACCATTCTTGAGCTGGAAACTACATGGAGATGAGTGGTCAGTTTCACACAATACAGAAAGAAAGTGTGGGAAGGCAAAATATGGTGGCAAAGTCTAACAATTTAACACAAAGGGACAAGAGAAAAATCACTATGAGTTTCTCTTAAGATACACACTCTGCAATATTACTCATCTTCTCTCACAATAGTTTAAAACTATGCACTAGAAAGAAGTACTTAAATTCTACCTTTTCTCTGTCACTCAATTGAAGAAATCTTTGTTTCTCAGCCTGTTCTGCTCTTCTCACCTCCTCCTCTTTTTTTCTTTCCTTTTCTCTCTCTCTTTTAGCTTTTCTCTGGTCTTGTCGTTTCTCTGCCATTTTTTGTTCCATATCATCTGTTAATGGCCCCGCAATTTGGGACTGAAATTATAACAATGGTCAGGGTGTATAATAATTCTACAGCTTAACCTATTTTTGCCTTTATTTATGAGAGAACTTTTAAAGACTGAACCAATTATAAGAATGATAATTATTTGCACCTTAGAATAATCATATTTGCCTGGAAAATCAGCCCAAAATCTCCTAAAAATATTACGTGTTTCTTTATTTGCAGAGACAACATATGGAGTCTGTGACTTCTTGTTCTTGACAGAAGGATCACAGCCAGCTTCCAGTAAAGCCCTGAAAACAACATTATCTGTCATCATCACTGCTACACTATATCCTACACAGCTTCAAGAAGCAACAGAAGCACTGGAGAGTATGAAGTGCAAAGTAAAATGGTAAATATTAGATTTCTTTAGCACAATACCACATATGATGTTAACTTAAATTACACAGAGCTTCAAATATTGCTTGTGCCGAGCCCTTCAACGCATCATACATTGCAATATGAGTTCAAATGCCTTCTAAAAATAGTGATTGAATGCTTTTTCCAATTTTGGGTCCCCATTTGTGGCATTAAGGTCCAAAAAGATGATCAATATCTACATTATTAACTATAAAATCCATGAATTAAGGATCGTGCATTCACCATCTATTTAACCCTTGTCTGTGCCAAGTGCCAATTCAATCAGTATACATTTTTTAAACAAAAATGCCAGCACTAATTACACTTGTAGCATTTACAATTAATACAATGCCAATAAATGAGAGTTCATATTAAATGATCACAATGAAAACAAAGAAACAAACTGGTAAAAAGATCATAGATATGAAATCTGAGGTTCTCACATTGGTGAAACTCAAGATTATGGTCCTCTAAGATTTTATGCCCTAGAGTTTTGTACGTGGGTACCTGCTGCCTCCATCTTCATGGTAGAAGGTAAAAATAAAGATGACAGTCTAGTGGGATCTGATGCTATGTAGTTGGTTAGGTGCCCTGAAGATGGAGGGAACAGATTCCTCAAAAACATCTGTATATACCAGACTACATCCCTATAGACTGGTCTTAAAGCTAGAATGTACTAATGCATTTGGTGTCTATATTTATTGTGATAATACAACTTCATGTTTGACGTAAAATCTCATTTTATTTACTTTTCACCACATATTTTCACAGACAGGAAGCTGCATTTGGTAATAATGCCAATTGCCAACAGTACATCAGCTCAGATGATATGTATAAAGTTCAATGAAACTCATTCAAGCACGTTTATTGAAACCGGCAGAGAAGATTTAGTTATAATATTGTTAAGCAATCACTTTGTACCAAAACTGGAGGTACTGCCCCAGCAAGAATCAGACCAGACAGGTGTCCCAATGTTGTATGAACAATAACTAGAACTGACTATAATATAATGATAATATAATTAATTATACCTAACAATGGCCATGTGTCCACCTTGAGCAGCCACATGCAGAAGTGTCTCTCTGTTCTCACCAACATTCTCATTAAGGCAGCTCAGATATTCCACCCTTGAGATGTTACTGTTCTCACTTCTACAGTAAGAGGGCTTTACTTTTTCAGAATTATCAGCTTCTTCATTTATTTTAGTTGTCTCAGCTTCACAATTCTCTGGCTCCTCTTCTATTGGATGGACAGTCTGAAGGGAATTAACCAATAATTCTGTATCTCCAAGCCGACAAGAAGCCCAAAGCTTTCTCTGGAGAGCCATAACTGATGCACTGTACAAATCTAAAACAAACAATGGGAAATATATACATTTAAATAACAGAAACTTAAGAACCTTCATGTGTAGTTGATAAAGGGTTAATCTCAAAAGAAAACCACCCAAACATTAATTACACACAAATGATGAATGAAATACAACTGTAAAGCAAGTATATCATGAAACTCACTTCGTCTTCTGGATATCAAATTCTGATAGATGAGTTGTAAAGTTTTCTGCAGTAACTATCAAGATCATTGTCCTCTTGGGTGTGAGGTCATGCAATTTGGTAGATGGATACCAACATTTTGGAGGAACCTGTTGCTTCCATCTTCATGGATAAATGGATGATGGCAGAAGGATTCTCAGGAACACTCACCAAACTACAAGATATCACATCCCAGAACACAGAAATTTTCAAATTTTCATACCTTTTTCAACTTTCTTCTTTTGCTGCTTTTTGTCAGTCCTCTTGTTATCTTTACTATGCTTCTTTTTATTTTTCATCTCCTGTGGTACTGTAACACAAAACTCCTGAAGACAATCAAATGATATCTCTGTTTCCTCATCTATCATATGGCTTCCAACGGTCATTTTTGTTTCACTGATATCACTTTCAGATGAACTTCTAGTCAGAACAGCAGTTACAATTCCTGGCAAAGGTCGATGGGGTGACTTACGAGACTTAGCACGATCAATATTATGTTTGGAGCTTCCTCGTTTTGGACCTGTGTTTTCAGATCCTTCAACTGTCATCTCATAATTAATTCCTGTTCAAAGAACAAAGAAACTTGTTGCCGAAATATGAAATGTGAAGTATTGCCCTTTACATGCTATAATTTCAAAATATACAACATTTGCTTCTGCTGTAACATCTTTATCTTTGCTATAAATCTAGTAATAAAATAAGTTCTGAGAAAAACTCATGATGCCTAGTTCCCTTCAAATGCTTCTATCTACACAATGGAATAAGCAAGATCCATAAATAAATACTAATTATACTAATTAGGGTTCCTGCTCGGTACATCAGAGATTTTCCATTGTTCAATGTTTGCTCCTTATTTAAAAATTGTCCCTCTGCTAGATGCGCAGCAGCTGCTAATGTTGTCTGCAGGGATGCTGACGTATTCGGAGCCAGGTATGTTCTACCCAAACAAATTTTAAATATAGTATAACTGTTAGTATTTTTATTATTTGCATGTCCAGTAAAACAAAATGAATTACGTATACTATTATTATCCTCTGAAAAGCTATACTATTCATTTCTTAATTAAATATTTATGTTTCAGTCCTCAATTAGTAATAACACTTAGTTTAATGATAATGAAATTATTATTACTGTTATAATTATCACTTATTTGTTTGTTTACTTTTACTTTTACTTTTATTCATTATTATTTCTTCCAAGTACTTACCTGTAATTTGTATTTGACTTTTAATAAGTTTGTCTATAATGTAATTCATTCATCTGCACTGTGCTGTGTCTGTAATTGGCCTTGCGGCTGTTGACTCGGCACATTAATAATAAAGAATTGAATTGAATTTCTGTACATAAATTAACGGCCGTGGGGATCCATTGCACTGACCATGCGACACCCTCTATCCGCAAAGTTGGCACTAACTTCGCCGACAAGTGGCGACAGAACGGAAAGTGAGTTTTGCATGACTTCATTAAACTCAATGATCAAAAGGACAGGTGGTGTGTAAAAATGATGTGGAACAACAGGTTTTCTTTATAGTGATGAACTTCACTTTGCAAGAACTTACCACCATACTTCAAAGTGAAACTTCTCACCTTACAGAATCATGTGATTCTAGTTTGGAAATCAAATAATTAGCTAATGAACTGACTAGAGAATGCAGATGATAAGGCTATGCATTTCAATATGCCATCACATTGAACCATCTATGACATGAGTGAAAAATCTGTCATCATAAATCAAACAATGAAAAGGTACAGATGAGTGTAATGTGGACAGGAGTTGTCAGACAGCTTCAAAAGAATGTGCTTAAGGCCTGCAGCTTCCTGTGATACTAATAATCAGGGCCTCATCACTAACTGGTGTCGCACTCCCATTTATAATCTGGGATACCCCTCTCCCCTGGAACACGCACTCTTGGGCCTGGAGGCTTCTGAAGGTTGCATTTACTACAGGACCAAACCACCTAAGCCAAGGTGTGAGGCATCGTGCTGAGGGCTGCATGGCACTGGGGTGGTAATTAGCCAGTGTCTTGAACAATCCCCTCGGGGCACCAGGAAGCAACTGTATTTATGCTTTCCACCCATATGGGGCGCTGCAGGTGGTGACTTTTAAATCCCCATAACTCATGGGACCGAAATGAATAAAGACACCAAATTAAAAACCAGTCGTAAAGACCTTAAACTGAAGAGGGAGCCCCCTCCAAGGGGATCCCTATGAGAAATACTTCAGCAGGGGGCTGGAAGCTCTGGTGAATCATTAAGGGGCCCAGTTGCAACCAGCAAACCTGTTGTTGAAATTTCAGCCAAAGGCAAGGATGAACCAGTGGTTCAAAACCTGCCGGAGGTAAAACCAAAAACTACTCTCCTGGGGGTCAGTAGTACTGACACATCACTGCAGGGATCTAGTAATTCTAACACACCTGCAGCAGGAGAAGGACTGGGACACCTAGTCTCTGGAGTAGGTGGACCCCGTCTGGTGAAGAAAGCCTTGTCTGGATGCGCTAGATGGAAGCTGAAAAAGGCAAGAGCTGAGGCAAGCAAAGCAGGAACTGGGAGCATTCAGCAACCAGGAAATGCAGGCTTATCCAAGCAGGAAGAAACCCCCACCGGCACCTTTAAGAGGCCAAGGTCGGAGGGCAGTACCCCTACAGAAATGGCCAGAACTCTGAAAAGGCCCAAGAACTGTAAGGGACAAGGGATTTACAAGGAGGCTCTGAGGATAAGCTTACTGCAGATGACCAAAATTCCATTCTGGAAGCATTGGGGGAGGTACTTCTTTTGGCTTATTTTGGACTTCATCCATCATCTGGTATGTAAAAGACAAAAAGACCACGACATTTTGGAGACTGGATCTGTCTCCATTTTCAGGTGGGTAGGGAAGGATAAACCTACTCAGTTGGGCCCGTTAGAAAGAGCTAGTCTCAATCACCAAAGCCATTGACAGCCACAGGCTGGAATCAGGGGCCAGGCTGAAGGCTACTGATGTCAGGAACCTGCCCAAGCCTGTTAAGGTGGCTCTCCAGACTAGGTACAAAATTGCCCAGAATCAGGTAGAGCTGCTGAAATGGATTTCATACTGAGAACTGGAGGGTACTCACTAAGCAATCTGAGCCAAAAGGCCAAAGGCTCATCTTATTCATAGACTGGGACTCCCATACTATTATACAGAGGACTGGTTACAAAATATTTACAGGACTCTCACAGGGGACTGTTAAGGTGCTGGATGATCATGAAGTTCAGCGCCGGGTAGAACCTGTGACAGGCACTGTATCTTCTAAGTTGGTCTCTGAGGAGGAAGGGATTGAAGTACCCAGCCCCCTGGATGACCAAAGCAAAGTGGCTCAGGGGACCCCTTCACACGGAACCCAGTCCAAGAATGGAGAGGGACATAAGATGGAAATTGACCCCTACCCAATTGGAGGAGATCATGAAACTTCTTCAAATCAACCTACACCACAGCAAAGCTGCGAAGCAACTCTGTGCCAACAACTGGCTGAGGGTAAGGCAGATACAGCACTTATTCAGGAACCTTGGTTATACAAGGGTCAAATAAGGGGCTTAACTAACACAGGGGGAACAGTTTACTCTGCTGTACCCAACAATAATGCAAGATCTTGTGTTTATCATGTTAATGCCTTGCCTTTGCTGGAGCTCTGCTCTAGGGATGCAACAGTGGTAAGGATAACATAACCATATTGAGGAGGCAGCAAGGAACTGATTATTGCTTCAGTCTACCTTCCATATGACTCGGATGAACCATCACCAACTAAGGAGGTGAGGGACATCATAAACTACTGCTATAGCAGGAAAAAACAACTCATTATTGGGTGTGATGCCAACGCGCACCACATTTTGTGGGGGAGCACTGGCACTAACCCAAGTGCAGAGAGCCTTATGGAATTTCTGGTGAGTTTGAACCTGAATATTCTAAACCATGGTAATGAACCTACCTTTGTGGTTTGCAATAGGAAGGAGGTTGTTGATTTGACACTAGGGACAAATAACATAGGAAAGCTGGTAAGTAATTGGCATGTATCTGATGAGCCGTCCCTATCGGACCACAGATATACAGGTATAGATATTACAGATATTAGAATGAGACTCATGCTGAAACAGTACTGAGGAACACCTGACACAGGAGACTACTTGATCTCTGTGTTTATCAAACCACTCCCTTTATCTTGGCCTTTGTTTACAGAATGCATACTTTTCCCAGACATACTTTCATCCTGTGCTGCCTGAGACTTGAAACCTCGTTTTCTCAAAGTCTGAGGGAAAGATGTTTGGAAGGCCTCTCCAGAGCCTGAAAATTGTGAAGATAATACATTAAAAACTTCACTTTATTACTTTCAATACATACCTTCACAATACAAAGTTCAGAGCAACACACAAATTATGTTAGTATCTGAATGATCGTTTGCAAACCAAGAAAAAAATACACAGAGAAACTATCAATGTTCATTAAAGTGGAATCTTGTATGTATTCTTGGCACTAAGTGAATGAAGAGAATGTTTCCATCTGTCTGTTCATAACTTCTATCGCTGAAATAACAAAAGAGGTTTCTATAAAATTTTTACCATCAAGCCATGCATCCAATGGAAGTTGGAGGCTCTGACCTCAGGGATAAAGTGGGTTGAGCATGAAGCTAACACCCACCTCCATCTAGTGCTAAGATTAAAAATGTACACAGCTATCACTTGACTCCACCACAGAAAAATTTTCACCATTATGTTAAAATTGTTAATTTTGGTTTTTTCAGTTTAGCATACCTTCTACTTTATATGAAATTTAAATCAAATTTTGCAACCCCCCCCCCGCCTCNCCCGCCTCCAGATGGATCACTGTGCAAAAACTGATCTCTGAGAGGTTGTACACTCCACTCATATCTTGAACTGCTACTTGAAACTTTTTTCAGTATGATGACTACTTGATGAAATATGCTGAATTATATTTTCTGTCTCTGACTTGAGATGTCTGTAATGCAGTTAACTTTCCTACATTAGATTTGTATCCATAAGAAATTAATTTTAGGACAAATCAGGTATTCAAAATAACAAACATCATGTCTGGACAACATGTGTACTCGTATGTCTATAGGGTATACCTTTCTATTTATTTATTGGCTGGCAGTGTAAAAAGAAAACAGTGTAGATCTCTAGACATCTAGTATTTTCTACCTACTATACAAACCTAAATCTGAGTTGTTCTGTAGGTTTCACTTAATAGCATCTTCTTATTATGAAAATGAACACAGCGAACAAAATTTCAGATTCTGGTAAGTGTTGTCTCTTTTCTCCACTATCAACCGTGCCATATTTTTTCTTATATAATTATAATGCTTATTTTTAAGGTACATGAAGTGACATACCATACATCTCAACACTGGTAAGGATGCCATGTACACGCTTGACCTCACTGAAGGTGGCACGTCTTGTGGCAAAGGGGATGGTGCGCAGACGAGAATCAGTCTTACTAAGAGGAGGATTCCGACCACTGAAGAGAACATTTCCATTATGGCCAACAGCACGGTACAGGATCAGACCACAGGTATCCAACTGAGATGACCAGGATTCCATGATATCTTGTACATGCTTCCATTCAACAAAACAAGTACACACTAATAAAATACTTATATATATGGAGTTGTTCTTAAATATTAAGTGCTGCATTCTTATTATACAATAATAACAACCAACAAGAGCAAGAATAGCTTGTAACAGTTACCCATTCAAGATAAATGGGAAAAAGAGAGGGAAGTGCATACATCTTCATGCAGGATGATAGATGAAATATGCCAGATCTGATAAGACCTTTAACATGTGTGTTGGGATGATTACTTAAGATTTCTTGATTGAACAGGAAGTAACTGTAATATATATAAGCAATGGAACGACACAAATAGTGTTTATTATTTACAGTCCCCATACGGTGTCTTTCAGCTCTTAAAGGTTAATATATATGAAAGTCCATTTGATGTGCTCGTGTTCTGGAGTTGGTGTGCTGTGTTCTTCTGTGCTGAGGTGTTTTACAGGGTGTCTTGTTCCTGAATTCACTGTAAAACACACAGCAAGGAAGAACACAATGCACCAACTCCACACAAGCGCATCGAAGGGATTTGCATATATATTAACAACAGAAGACAGAAATTTGCTCATCAAAAAGGTTTTAAATAAACACCTGATAATAGCCATATTGCCCAAAACATGTAGTGATTGTTTTAAACTTTTGAACTTCAGAGTTACTAAGTTTTGTGGGATGTGGTGTTGCATGTAAAACTGTGACTAATAACACTAAGTAAAAAGTGCAACAGAATGCTACTTGTACAATATAATATTATTATGTTAAATCTTACACTGTGTCATTAGTCTTCACAAGATCAACTGCTAATGTCAATATTTCAAAATTTCAAACAAGGCCAATTCTCTTCATCAGGTGATACACGTGAACAAGGAGTTCAAGACAGAACTCATATAAAGCCTACTTTCCCATCATAGATAATTCTAATCTGACAGATCTATTATTTTATTATTACTAGCCTCTTATTTTATTTTTGTGAAGAACTTATTACTTCAGTGTAAATTCCATATAAGTTAAATTTGTGGGATATAACATCAAAGTTCAGAATTATCATCATGCTTGTGATTGTTGACACATAAATAATATTTCATACATAATGTGCAGGCACACTTATAACATATTTCTGTACTAGATTCCATATTTCAACAGTTCATTAGTAATCACCATTAAACTGAGATCTAAAGATAATTTCTTCATATTCACTATATTATTATTTTACATTCTGCAAGAACACATCACTAAAAGTTTCAAACTTTTCCCAAAATGTATTAGTATTGTAATGTGTTGGTGACCAGACATGAGTGTCAATTAATTATTGAATTTTCTGAATGCTTATGACCCATAACTGCAAATAACTGTAATACTCTCACTAGTCTAAACACTCCATAAATCACTACAGCACACATTAAGTCTTCTCAGTTTGTTCTGTCTTCACTGGTCATTGCTTGGTACCAGCTTTTAACAATGGAGATTCCTCTGCTTCCATGCTCACATCCAACCATTAACCTTTAAGTGCTGAAGTGCCCCGTTTGTGCCAGTGGTGAGTAAGGTCGTCGTGGCCAAAGTACCCCGTTTTGGCCAGTCAGGCATTTAAAC